AAACTAGCCAGTATTTTGCTTATTTATGAAGATATGGTCAAGAGGCGAATCTTAAATGTTGAAAGATCCCGACACTGTTTAATAACACCAAATAAATATACATGCAATGTTTGGACAAGTGAACAGAGCCTAGTCTTAAGGCCCAAGAGACTGTGAACAGCCTAGTGCTAAACATTCAGTTTCTTAATAAAAGTGTAGAATATATATATTGTCTTGTATCATGTGATCTTGACTTTGCTTCCAGTACGATCCTTTGTTCTTCAGGTGATCTTGACTTTCCCTCCAGTTCAATCAGGAATGTACACTTGGCTTGCAGGTCTTGTAGCCGAGACATATGTCATCACAGCACTTTTGAGATAATCGACATTCGTAGTCCTTATGGCATTGCTGTAAGAACAGGTAATAAGTATTAAGGTGACCAAGACAGTCTTTACATTACATTCCAGTCACTGAGCAACTAACCATTAATCTGGTGTTGTGATGAACAGTCTACTACACCCCCAATATCATACAAGAACCTCTCAAATCTTGTACATCCCTCCAAAAAAATTATACATATACCCCTATGACATAGTATATTCCTCCACTTACAGTATACGCTCCACAACATCATTCACCCCCTCATATACCATTCAAGCACCCCACAAAAAAATCATGAACTAATGCATCTTGTCATTCGAAGCAGCGACTGACAAAGACACAGTTGAAAACATATGACTTACTCTACGGAAAGATGTAATGTCGCTTCTATGAGGACATTCTGTTCTTATCCGTGGACATCTCCCAGGGTGGGCTGTTGGGAGACCAGAGATTACTCTCACACAACCATTTCAATAGCTTCCTTCCATATCATCATTTTGGGCATTGTAACCTAACTTTCAATAGTTTATGCTTAAGAGAAAATTTGTTAATTTTACGTTGATATATTGTTGTTTGGTGGATTGGAAGTTCGGCTACAACTTACGATCACAGCACACGAAGAATCCTGGTCCACGGATCGGGTCAGGACAGAAGTTGTGACATTGTCCACACACAAGAGCAACGCAAGCCGCCAGCACCAACACACGCAGACTCTGCTGTTGAGGGTGAGTGGCAGTGAGAAGCCTGACCCAAGTAGGTGGGAGAGAGATAGTGAAAAGCCTGACCCACGTAGGTGGGAGCGAGACAGTGGGAAGCCTGACCCACGTAGGCGGGAGAAAGACAGTGGGAAGCCTAACCCACAGTAGGTGGGAGAGAATAACTGAGATCAATCATGTAAGACACAGTATACAAGTAGTCTGCTCACCATGTTTGAAATTCGTTAGAAGAAGTGTATTGTGAGAGGAAGCTCGAGTGTCTGGTGCCTGAAGCTTTACTATCTTCTCTTTATACTCCCTCGACCACACTCTCACTCCTGCGACCTTCTTGCAATCAGAGTCACAATTTGTTTAAGCATGTATCCATGTTGTATGCTTGTGCTAACGTGGAGCGTGTCAGTGTATGCATGAAGTATACACATGTGCATATGTATGTTTTGGGCATATGTTTGGTAGTGTCAACATTAGAGATATCGAACACTATACAGTGTATTTCGACAATATCTCTCAAATCTCTCTGTATTAATTTATCGTATATGTTGTGGAACTTCAGCTAACCTATATTAAGCATCTACAAGAAAAGTGATGACGGCCATAAAAGTAAAGTTTATAATCCACATAGATTTGTGTATATCTTGGTAAAGTAGTGTGTGCTTTTTTAAGTATGAAATATGAAATATGTATATATTTGGCGTGAGTATTGGGACTATGTTACGAGAATTTTGGTATGTTTGGGAAGTATGTGTGTGTGTTGATGACGGTGGAGTGTATGTAGTTTGGTTTGTTGGACTTAAAACTATTCTGCCTTATACGGATTATCGAGGCCTCCATAATAAGGTAAGGTAATTATGAGGAGAAAGCACTAAGCCAGTATGAATATAAATAAGGCCTCCATAATAACTTACTGATCAACCATCTCAGTATTCCTAACTGACCAACCAACTCAGTATACCTTAGTTCCTAATATAGTTCCAACCTATAACCTAAGAATCTGAGGAAGAAGCCTAGTGGGTACAATATCCAAGAGTAACATAATTCGACGTTGAATAAATGTCATTAACCTTAATTAAACGTTATTATCGCTGAATATTATTATCCGGCAGCCGGTCGGAGCTAATCGGTCGTCGTCGCTCCTCAATCAACAATAACAATGTAATTCTTCATATAAAATGTGAATAATTCATACATGCCGCAAGTTACTAACTAAACAAACAATAGTGAAAGCAAAAGTCTGACACCTGTGGTCACCTCGCTGTGATATTTAGACTAAACCTCAAAACTTGGCGGCCGGAATTACCCGACGTAGTTGAGTAATTAGATAAGGAAAAGTAATTAGATTCTGAAAACATTGTTATTGCAACATTACTGCTCATATGAATAACTATAAATATAAATATGAATAACAAATCCAAAACACGATGTAGTGAATACTAATTTAAAGAACTAATATATTAAACATTATTAACTAAAAAATGGCCAGACTTCATGATTAAATAAAATCCTAATAATCTGACGAATTTTGTTCGAACCACAACGCTGTAAATGCTTCACCCACTTACAACAAATACAAATAATCGCCAACAGAGCCTAAACACCTAACCTATGTCTATATATGCAAAATTTGCTAATTTATATTTGAGAAAATTCCTGTTTTGAATGAACAGCATGTAAACAATTATGATTGCGTCTGAGGGGTCGACCGCTGGATGGAATGGACTTGAGTCGAAGACGGGTTGCATCAACAATGGCCAAATGCTCGTTAATCAAGCCGCCAACCCCCCCTGTTTATGTATGAAAAACACTTTACATACGACTCACAATGGATGTCGTACATTCCTTTCTCCAGCAGTGCTTTGTTGACATGCTCTGCGCGAATTGAACCACTATAAACATACCGTCCTCATCAACAAAGGCTAAATGTTCGTTAATCCAGCCGCCAAATTCCATGTTTGTAGATGACAACGGTTTACACACGACTCCCAATTGACGACGTTAGAAATGTTTCTAACCATTCTTCTTCGAATAAATCTTCGCGAACGACCTCTGTTCGAATCGCAACGCTGTAAGTACTTCACCCACGTACTTCAAATAATCGCCAACAAACCTAAACACCTAACCAAATCTAACATAACCTAACCTAATCTAACTTATGCTTGACTATATGTAGGACATAAATATATAATAATATTAATATATTAATGAGAACAAACTTACTTTTAATACAAAATATGTTAAAATTGATGAATGCGTCTTGGGAAAAGTGGGGGAGTGGGGGAGGGGGGAGACGTAGCCTCAATAATTCATGCCTAAGGACAATACATACGCACTCCCCATACATATGCACGCCCTATACATATCCACTTCCAATACATACTCACTCCCCCATACATATGCACTCCCCTATACATATCGACTTCCAATACATACGCACTCCAATACGTACACATATACACCTGTATAGCTTTTTAACGTGGGTACATCAGCAGATATACTCCCCCACATCTTAAGCCTCACACTACAAGTTCCTAAATAACAAGATGCGCCAGTCGTCTTACAACCATGTTCCCAATTACTGCTGGGTGAACAGGGGCGTACAGTTAAGATTGGGTGGCCAGTTGTGCCTCCGTGCCCAGGGTTCAAACCTGGCTCTAATCGCTCGAGAGGCATGAAATTACCGCGCTGACACTGACCCTCATAGCTCAAGTTGCCTGTACACGGCAATACAAATGTGACCCCAGAATAATATTGCAGAACGTACGTAAGACAGATTCTCGAGTGTGCAGCGTCGACCTGGAATACGCACAAAACATCGGATATGAGAGAACACATCCTCACAATGTTGGAGGAGGAAGGAAGCGGAGACATTGGAACGACGTGCAAGATATCAAGGGAATTTGGCAGTGAACAGTCTTTAACAAGATAAGATGGAGTCAAATTGGGCAGATGTCAACATGATCATCTTCCATATTAGTTACAAGCAACATTAGTCACAAACAACGTTAGTTACAAGCAACATTAGCCACAAACAACGTTAGTTACAAGCAACATTAGTCACAAACAACGTTAGTTACAAGCAACATTAGCCACAAACAACGTTAGTTACAAGCAACATTAGCCACAAACAACGTTAGTTACAAGCAACATTAGTCACAAACAACGTTAGTTACAAGCAACATTAGTCACAAACAACGTTAGTTACAAGCAACATTAGTCACAAACAACGTTAGTTACAAGCAACATTAGTCACAAACAACGTTAGTTACAAGCAACATTAGTCACAAACAACGTTAGTTACAAGCAACATTAGTCACAAACAACGTTAGTTACAAGCAACATTGGCCACAAACAACGTTAGTTACAAGCAACATTAGCCACAAACAACGTTAGTTACAAGCAACATTAGTCACAAACAACGTTAGTTACAAGCAACATTAGTCACAAACAACGTTAGTTACAAGCAACATTAGTCACAAACAACGTTAGTTACAAGCAACATTAGTCACAAACAACGTTAGTTACAAGCAACATTAGTCACAAACAACGTTAGTTACAAGCAACATTGGCCACAAACAACGTTAGTTACAAGCAACATTAGCCACAAACAACGTTAGTTACAAGCAACATTAGTCACAAACAACGTTAGTTACAAGCAACATTAGCCACAAACAACGTTAGTTACAAGCAACATTAGTCACAAACAACGTTAGTTACAAGCAACATTGGCCACAAACACAAGGAATACTTTACAAGAGGAACTGGTAAACTTGAATACAATTATCAGGTTCAAGAGTGATGACAATGAGAACGACGAAGAATGAAACACCGTATTAACTGAACAATAGCAAGAATGGCGGGGGCTTAGGAGCTAATATCCAATCCTGCAAGCTCATGAATACAAGGAAGGGTGGAGGCAGGAGGTGTGAGTGCAAGACACACACGCGCACGCACGCACGCGAGTGAGGGCGAGGGGGGTATAAAGAAGTCCCTCGCTGTATGCCACACACCAGACCTGCCCACGACACCTAACAGCATACACCTCGACCACACTAATCCTCCAACATGGTGAGCCGTGTATACTATACACTGAGACGTGTATTAAGTGTATTACCCCATTTATCATCGTGTATATGCTGAGTTTATTGTCTCGGACTTACTGAATATAGTCTTGGACTATATTCAGCAAGCTTTAAGGTTAGGAATATGCTATACTGAATATTGACTTGGACTATATTCAGTAAACTGTTGTGGTGGCATGAAAGACCCCCTTAACCTTAAAGAGCGTCTTGGCTTCTCGACTTCAGACGTCAAATCTCTCATTTATCGTTCCATTTTGATAATTGTATCATATTTACAGATTTTGTTTCATCAGTACTGTTGTTAAAGTTACACTGGCGGGAGTACTCTCTTTTTCCCTATTATTGTTTTCCTCAGTGCGTCTCCCTCTCTCAGCTTTTCTAAGTCACCTTTCCTCACGTGGTTCTCCTCTGACAGAGTCTGCGTGTGTTGATGCTGGCAGCGTGTGTGGCTGTCACACTAGGCTCAATCCTCCCACCTAAACCTAATGCTTCCTGCACCAACTACTGCCCTGACCCAATAAAAGGTCATGGATTCTTCGTCTGCTGTGATCGTAAGTTCCAGTCTAACCTTATAATCCTCCTTAAAAACACAAAATTACAGTAAAAATGCTAGGATTCCTTTAAAATTAAGGTCAAAAGGGGTCTACGTGTGTGTGTGTGTGTTGTATATATTTTTTTACGGGCTCACTATATAGGCAGTGTTACATGGGCATTTCGTTCGGAAATGTCCATGTAGATGGGATCTAAATCTAAAATAACAACTGAGTGTTGCTTATCCCACAGCTCATCCTGGGTTCTGTCCACCAAAGAGGTTCGTCTGTCCGTTCGCCAAGTTCCCGTCTCCACCAGTAAGTTTTGGTTTTGTTATTCATTGTATATGTTTGTCAAGTGCTAAGAGGTGTGTCATCACAACACCAGGCTAGCGATTGTGATGGACATCGAATATATATTGTTATCTAGTATCAGCTTGTGAAGTAGAAATGTCCGACCATTTTTCCTCTGGTTAGTCGAAGCCTGATATCTTCGGCGATTCAGTAACCGTTTTGTTAATAATATTTTGGTTATCTTAATACGTGTTGTCTGTCCTTACAGAAGTGTGTGACGGACTTCAACTGTCCCAAGACCAGCAAGTGTTGTGAAGACGCCTGTCTTAACTTCAAGACCTGCAAGCCGGCTGTGTATTCTTAAACCCACTCTGATGAGATCCAACCCCACCTGAGATGGGATTCCACCCCACATGAAGATGACGAAGCCTAAGGTCTCGATTTTATATTTCCTCATTGATGTTATTGTTGAATATCATTTTGATTAAAAAGATAACATAAACTGGTCTCATAAAATATTTCCTTACGGGTGAATCAGATATTTTAATATATTTATTATAATGATTCACAATAGAGAATAAAATATTTATATTATAAATGAGACACGAGAGACAGAGAGAGAGAGAGAGAGAGAGAGAGAGAGAGAGAGGTAGAGAGAGAGAGAGAGAGAGACTGCTGAATACACCCTCATAGAGAGCTGAAATTAAATATACCTGTATATTGGTTCACAATAATAGGTCACAAATCTCCTTAAGTAGCAGATTAATATGAAATTTAATTATATCAGTAAAAGAGACGGTCAATAAGCACATATACACAGCCGATGAGACACAATAACGTGGCTGAGGATATGATGACCAACCACACACCAGAAGATGAGACGACGACGTTTCGGTCCGTCATCAACCATTATCATGTCGATTATCAACTCATCTTTTGGTGTGTGGTCTGGAAGATCTTATAAATCTTCCAGAGGGTAAGTTAATGATCTTCCAGAGGTTATAAACTCGTTCCTCTCAATGTTTACTGATGAAGCTAAAATTTTGGGAAGGATTAAATCAGAGGACAACATGAGGCTACAAGAAGATCTGGACAAACTGAAGGAATGGTCTAACAAGTGGCTATTAGAGTTTAACCCGAATAAATGTAGATTAATGAAGATAGGTGTAGAACGCAGGATGCCAGATACAAGGCATCATCTGGGAAATGAAATCCTTCAAGAATGAAGGAGATAGAAAAACCTGGGGGTTGATATCACGCCAGACCTGTCCTCTGAATCCCACATCAAGAGGATATCATCAACAGCATATGCCAGGTTAGCCAACATAAGAACTACCTTTAGAAACTTGTGAAAGGTATCATTCAGAATCTTGTATACCACATATGTCAGACCAATCCTGGAGTATGCAGGATTCCTGGAGAATGACAAAAACATGATTGAGATAAGTCTCAAGCATGATATGACTTATCCTGTCCTTGTGTATACTTAAGTGAGCTATGATAATGAGGATATATAAAAATGTATATGTGTATTCAGGCTTGCCCTGTATATATGTATATATATATATATATATATATATATATATATATATATATATATCGTACCTAGTAGCCAGAATGCACTTCTCAGCCTACTATGCAAGGCCCGATTTGCCTAATAAGCCAAGTTTCATGAATTAATATATTTTCTCTAATTTTTTTCTTATGAAATGATAAAGCTACCCATTTCATTATGTATGAGGTCAATTTTTTTTAATTGCAGTTAAAATTAACGTAGATATATGACCAAACCTAACCAACCCTACCTAACCTAACCTAACCTATCTTTATAGGTTAGGTTAGGTTAGGTGGCCGAAAAAGTTAGGTTAGGTTAGGTAGTCGAAAAACAATTAATTCATGAAAACTTGGCTTATTTGGCAAATCGGGACTTGCATAGTAGGCTGAGAAGTGCGTTCTGGCTACTAGGTACGACATATATATATATATATATATATATATATATATATATATATATATATATATATATATACAACTTTAGAACACTTTCCCACCAGGAGACTCGAACCCTAGCCAGCACAGAAGCCTTCCAGCAACTGGCACAACAGGTACGCCTTAACCCGCTCCACAACCCGCAAAGGTGCAGGTGTGGAGCGGGTTAAGGCGTACCTGTTATGCCAGTTGCTGGAAGGCTTCTGTGCTGGCTAGGGTTCGAGTCTCCTGGTGGGAAAGTGTTCTAAAGTTGTATACTTCACTCTCGTGTTTAGGAGAGTTGTGCCATATATATATATATATATATATATATATATATATATATATATATATATATATATATATATATATATATATATATATATATATATGTACTGTATGTAAGTGTATAAAGTATATGTGGAAGCTGGTCAGAACAGCATTTCACCTTTGTAAATGCACATTAGTGACACTATGTAAAAGACACATCGAACACTTCATTTATTGCAAACGTAACTCTGCGTATTAATGTATTTATGTCTGAAGGTTAGATTAGCATTTTAAAAGCACTACAATCACCTTCTGTGGTTGCTCTCACCCTGTCCATGGAGGACAGAAGAAAATGTACATATGCTGGTTAGCATTGTAAATGTGTGGCCACGTCTGTGGTAGAAAATAATAATAATAATAAAATATGTACTCACCTAGATGTACTCGTCTAGGTGTACTAATCCTAAGTATTCACCTAGTTGTGATTGCGAGGGTTGGGCGATGCTCTTTTGGCCCGCCTCTCAACTGTCAATCAATCAACTGTTACTACTAACAAATTTTTTTTTTACACACATACACCAATAAATGGACAAAAGGCATGCATTAGGAAGTTGTTGATAAATGGAATGCATTAGGAAGTGATGTGGTGGAGGCTGACTCCATACACAGTTTCAAGTGTAAATATGATAGAGCCCAGTAGGCTCAGGAACCTGTACACCAGTTGATTGACAGTTGAGAGGCGGGACCAAAGAGCCAGAGCTCAACCCCCGCAGGCACAAATAAGCGAGTACACACACCCAGGAAGCAGCCCGTAACAGCTGTCTAACTCCCAGGTACCTATTACGGACTATTAATAGTGTACTCAGAAAGATGTACTCACCTAGGTGAGTACATCAAGTACGGACCTAAGAATGTACACATGGACAAGTGAACACATAATGCACACACATGAAGTACACACACAAGGAGGAAGAGAAAAGGTCTTATGCAAGATATATGTAATAAGACACTTTTCCACTATTGTGTTAATACCTGGAACTGGAGCGCCAGGCATTGTCCCGAAGGTATGGAGGGATGGGACGGATACCTATACCATAATCACCAGGAACCCAATGACCCGACCAGGGTTCGAGCCTGCAATACTAGGGCTCATCCCCACTGGCGTACAGGATACTGTTGCAACTTCACTGTGTACGTCAGTGATCGAGCCCCTGGTAATGCTACCTCCCCCCCTCACACCTCAACCCTCACATCTCAAACAAAAGAGCCGAAACACTGTCGGGGAACACACTAGGAAAGAATAACAAAGCCCTTCCAAGAACTGGTTCACGTGGAGGGAAAAACTCGTCTTTCGCAGTGGAAACTAACTCCTCGACCACCGTCAACTGGTCACTTGAAGGTCAACCTTCACCGTCAACTGGTCACTTGAAGGTCAACCTTCACCGTCAACTGGTCACTTGAAGGTCAACCTTCACCGTCAACTGGTCAATTGAATGTCAACCTTCACCGTCAACTGGTCACTTGAAGGTCAACCTCCACCTTCAAGTACAACACTGGTTAGGGTGGGTCAAACAAACCTATAAAGCAAGATAATTAAAGGTGACAGATAGCCTGAGACACATCATGACAGATAGCCTGGGAGACATCATGACAGATAGCCTAAGAGACATCGTGACAGATAACCTGAGAGATATCATGACAGATAGCCTGAGAGACATCATGACAGATAACCTGAGACACATCATGACAAATAACCTGAGACACATCGTGACAGATAACCTGGGAGACATCATGACAGATAACCTGAGACACATCATGACAGATAACCTGGGAGACATCATGACAGATAACCTGAGACACATCATGACAGATAACCTGGGAGACATCATGACAGATAACCTGGAGGAGATAAAGATGTCTAAAAGAAATTATCAGCATCTTTGGTGTTATAAGTGGGGAATATCATCTGTAAATCCCTGTCAGAAGACCACCTGTGTTTACCTGTGGATTCCCCCGCCCTCTCTCTGTCTCTCTCTCTTCCTCCCTCCCCCTCTCTCCTCTTCTCATTCTCTCTCTCTTTCCCTTTCTCACTCTCTCCCTCGCCTTCCTCTCACTCACCTGATGCATCTGTTCGCCTAGCAGTGCAGAACAGAGGTACCTATAGGAGTTAAACAACTGTTGTGGGTTGCATCCTGAGAGTGGTCAGTAGTTGGTCTGGTAGATATGATAGAAACAATAGGTTTGCATCACATTACACAACCGTTGGATAGAAAGCTGGGGTCCAAGAGCTAAAAACTTGATCTTGCAGGCACAAAAAAGGTGAATACACACACACACACACACACACACACACAAATGGAATGCGTTAAGTAGTGATGTGGTGGAGGCTGACTCCATACACAGTTTCAAATATAGATATGATAGAGCCCGGTAGGCTCAGGAATCTGTACACCAGTTGATTGACAGTTGAGAGGCGGGACCAAAGAACCAGAGCTCAACCCCCGCAAACACAACTGGGTGAGTACACACACACACACTCGTAGTTCTAAGGGCCCCGGTTCGATTCCCGGTCGAGGCAGAAACAAATGGGTAAAGGTTTTTCACCTGATGCCCCTGGTCACCTAATAGTAAATAGGTGCCTGGGAGTTAGACAGCTGCTACGGGCTGCTTCCTGGGAATGTGTGTGTGCGTGTGTGTGTGTGTGTGTGTGTGTGTGTGTGTGTGTGTGTGTGTGTGTGTGTGTGTGTGTGTGTGTGTGTGTGTGTGTGTGTGTGTGTGTGTGTGTGTGTGTGTGTGTGTGTGTGTGTGTGTGTGTGTGTGTGTGTGTGTGTGTGTGTTAGAGAAATATATGTAGTATACATAATAAGATGAATAAATATATAGGTTAGAAAGGCGGGCTCCAGGAGCTTATAGCTCGATTCTACAAGCATAAATAGTAAATACACACGTATGTGAGCCCAGTACTCTAGCATGCAGCTCCAACTTGGAAGACCCTCTTAAGCACAAAAAAGTTGTTTGAGATAAAAAAAAAATAATGCAACGAAGGAGAATAGAAGACATACACAATATTTTCATGAATCGACACAGAGAGACAACTATGAACAAGAATTCAAACATAAATGCCACAAAAATCAAATTAATAGGAGAGACATTACACAAGGGAGCTCTAACGACTAGGAACATTTCCGTAAGTTCAAATATTAAGTGCACGCTGAAGCACTCACGTACCCAGGTGTGGGATTCAGGGGTGGTGGGGGGAAGCCAGGTGTGGACTTCAGGGGTGAGCGGGGGGTCAAGACAGTATATTAGGAGCTGCAGGAGACCAGGAGAACACACACATCCTGAGGACCTCGTCGCCTCGCCTGCTCTTCCACCACCACCACCTCCTCTCAGTAAACATGGTGGGTAAACACTCAACTCCAACTTCTCTAAATTTTATCATCAAAACATCTAAACCAAACCTTTAGAAATATTAAAGTTTTACATATATAATTAAGACAAATCCCCACATATATGATAACAACATTTAAATTTTTAAATTTTAAATTTTTAAATTTTGCCCCGAGGGGCGAGTTTATTGGGCAGCCCCACTCATCCTGTGAGTGGACTCACCGCCATAGCAGCATGTACAACACTCCCCAACAGGAAGAAAACCCGCTGGGTTGTTCATCCTGTCACTTGTACCCAGACATAGCTGGGACTTGCTTAACTGTCTCAAGTGAACAGCTCCTCAAACAAGAAGATTAACATCTATCAACCCTTAAAAGCTTATGTTATCTTGCGGGTGCAAAATGGGGAAATCTTTTAAGAACAGTATCAATATTTGACAAATAGTGTTTTCCTAACTCAAACAATGTAGGGTTTATTATTCTACACATACTTCTGATGTCTCTCAGGTGTTCACATTCACGTAGATAGTGGTCAAGGCGGATCAGCACAAACGAAGATATATGTCCTGAATTATGTATGTGTGAATGTAACTAGATGAGGCTTGCCCACAGCTGAAAATGAAATAAGTTTATTGAGGTAAAATACACACAAAGGGATGAGATAGCTCAAGCTATCCTCAAGCTATCTCAAGGATAGCTTGAGATAACTCACGCTATCCTCACCCCGTTCAGTAAAACGTGTTCATACATAGACACACACATCACAAACAATAAACATATTACCGCACATTCTGAGAGATAAACATATATACATTTCTCCCACAGCTGCGCGTGCTGGTGTTGTCCATGCTGGTGGTGGCGGCCCTCGGCCACCTTCCCCGACCCAAGCCCCCACAGCCGGGCTGTAACTACTACTGCACCAAGCCCGAGGGCCCAAACAAGGGCGCCAAGTACTGCTGCGGTCCCCAGTTCCTTCCCCTAATTAGGGAAGAAAGTAAGTATTGATATCATTAGCATCGTGCATCAAATATTCCTCAGTGTAGTAACTGGCTCTCTCCTCAGTGTTGACAGTGTAGTAACTGGCTCTCTCCTCAGTGTTGACAGTGTAGTAACTGGCTCTCTCCTCAGTGTTGACAGTGTAGTAACTGGCTCTATCCTCAATGTTGACAGTGTAGTAACTGGCTCTCTCCTCAGTGTTGACAGTGTAGTAACTGGCTCTCTCCTCAGTGTTGACAGTGTAGTAACTGGCTCTCTCCTCAATGTTGACAGTGTAGTAACTGGCTCTCTCCTCAGTGTTGACAGTGTAGTAACCATCCCTCATCAGTGTTGACAGTGTAGTAACCATCCCTCTCCTCAGTGTTGACAGTGTAGTAACCATCCCTCTCCACAGTGTTGACAGTGTAGTAACCATCCCTTATCAGTGTTGACAGTGTAGTAACCATCCCTCTCCTCAGTGTTGACAGTGTAGTAACTGGCTCTCTCCTCAGTGTTGACAGTGTAGTAACCATCCCTCTCCTCAGTGTTGACAGTGTAGTAACCATCTCTCTCTCCTCAGTGTTGACAGTGTAGTAACCATCCCTCTCCTCAGTGTTGACAGTGTAGTAACCATCCCTCTCCACAGTGTTGACAGTGTAGTAACCATCCCTTATCAGTGTTGACAGTGTACTAACCATCCCTCTCCTCAGTGTTGACAGTGTAATAACCATCCCTCTCCTCAGTGTTGACAGTGTAGTAACCATCCCTCTCCTCAGTGTTGACAGTGTAGTAACCATCCCTTATCAGTGTTGACAGTGTACTAACCATCCCTCTCCTCAGTGTTGACAGTGTAGTAACCATCCCTCTCCTCAGTGTTGACAGTGTAGTAACCATCCCTCTCCTCAGTGTTGACAGTGTAGTAACCATCCCTTATCAGTGTTGACAGTGTACTAACCATCCCTCTCCTCAGTGTTGATAGTGTAGTAACTATCCCTCTCCACAGTGTTGACAGTGTACTAACCATCCCTCTCCTCAGTGTTGACAGTGTAGTAACTATCCCTCTCCTCAGTGTTGAGTGTAGTAACCATCCCTCTCCTCAGTGTTGACAGTGTAGTAACTATCCCTCTCCACAGTGTTGACAGTGTAGTAACTATCCCTCTCCACAGTGTTGACAGTGTACTTACCATCCCTCTCCTCAGTGTTGACAGTGTAGTAACTATCCCTCTCCTCAGTGTTGACAGTGTACTAACCATCCCTCTCCTCAGTGTTGACAGTGTAGTAACTATCCCTCTCCACAGTGTTGACAGTGTAGTAACCATCCCTCTCATCAGTGTTGACAGTGTAGTAACCATCCCTCATCAGTGTTGACAGTGAAGTAACCATCCCTCTCCACAGTGTTGACAGTGTAGTAACTATCCCTCTCCTCCACAGAGCACAATGGTTTCTGTCCTCCTCCTCTCAAGGACTGCACAAGAATCCTACCACCTCAGGTAAGGCCTGGTAAATCATTTGTGGTAGTAGAGGTAATACCCAAGATACAGGTATTTCCACTTACCTTACCTTGAGGTTACCTTGAGGTGATTTCGAGGCTCAGCGACCCCGCGGCCCGGTCGTCGACCAGGCCTCCTCGTTTCTGGATAAATCATTTGTGTTAAATATAATAAATATTATATTCATCAAATCATCATAAATACCTTGGACACAGGTATATTTCACACTAACTCCTCTTCTATGGGGAATGTTGAGTATAACTGGAATCGTTCCTCTGGACCCAATTTTATCATTTCTGAATTATCATGGACCTGCCCCTCCTTCGTTCGAGTCCTGCGATTTTTAGTACACCAATATTTGGTCTGTGGGGATTTAGTCGTCAATTGCGATGTACTACTGGAGAGGATTGGGTGCATGGGCGGTTTAGTCGTCAAATAGGAGCTAAATTCCATGGATCGATTCTGCAGTTTCCCATATTTTTGTCTTTAGGCTATTACATAAACTTGTTTAAAACATCAATTTTATACGGAATGTGTATTTCTTCCACAGGTGTGCCCCCATGACGGACATTGTCCCATAAACCAGAAGTGTTGCTTTGACACCTGTCTCGACCTCCATACCTGCAAGCCTGCACACTTTTACATCAATTAGCTTGAGAGGAATAGCGTAGTCGCCGCTCCTCTGTGTGGCACTTCAAGATGGATCTAAGTCAATGATGATTCCCTGAGCTGAACTACAACAATGCTGTGCTTATAGGTTGTTGGCTCGCTTGTTCACTTTGTATTGTTTGGTGTTTATTTTAAAGGAATATATGTTTCATGTATAAATGAGAGGAGTTTTGTCTATTAAATAAAAATACTTTTCATATTATGTCTTAATACTACATATTTACAATAATGATTGAAGAGAAGAAAACAGAGAAGAAAGATGAAGGGAAGATGTTTCTCATGAGAGTTGTCATGGGTCTACTCCTTGGCATGTACTAAATATATTTTTGAATGCAAAATAAAAATATATAAATTTTGGGTACGAAATGGCGACAAATCTTGAGCGTATTGAGTTGCGCGCATTAAGTGTGAGAACAGGTTGACTATAGACGCTATATGTAATAAGGAACTTAAAATTAAGTTGACAGCGTTGTTAAATACAACAAAATGGTAAATAATTCAAATGCAGATAAACCACAAATGTCCTGTGAACATTATCTTTACTTGAAAATAAGAGTCGTGTTGAATCAGCAAGCCTAACTCACTGCTTCAGCACGTCATTTTGTTATTAACATATTTAAGTACATCTGCATTTATGCAGCTATCCCTAGACTATATATAGGGTGTCAAAAAACTAGGTCCGTGATGTTAAAAATCCCCATCACACAGGATGGTTAGTCATTAATTGATCAGAGGCATGTGATCAGTATTCTGCACTGACAAACTCTTGGTGCATAATGAGGATATCATCATCAACACAAGAGTAAGTTGACCAATCCACATACTAGAAAATGAAGGAACGACGACATTTCGGTCCGTCCTCGACCATTCTCAATCGTCTTGAGAATGATCCAGGACGGACCGAAACGTCGTCGTCCCTTCATCTTCTAGTGTGTGGACTGGTCAACATACATCAGCCACGTTATTGTGACTCCTAGCCTGCAACACAAGAGTAAAGAAGGTATCAGTGATACTAAAAGTCTCCATCTAGGACATCCCGTCAATTTCGCGAGCCGCTACCATTTGTAGAACATCAGATTATTGGTCTTAGGTAAAGTATACGTCAAAATGCAATATATATATACTATTAGGAGAACAGGTTGCTTGTTCATGGGTTCACGGAGTCCTCGGTTATTAGAGGTAATTTATTTAGAAATGTGTGTCATCATTACGGTGGTGCGCGTCCTCCTTGACTCTAACCACAGTGTAAACATCTGCAATTGTTAACGTTGATAAAGCCACCTGTCCTCAGGCTAGGCTCCGCCAGACGCCGGCTTATTGACCAATTTCACGGCCTATATGAAAGGCTATTTCATATACTATACTTCTTGAGGTTATCTTGAGAATAATAACTTCAATACCAATAATTAACCTCAATATACTATACTTCTTGAGGTTATCTTGAGAATAATAACTTCAATACCTATAATACTTCAATACCAATTAATAACCTCAATACCAATAATACTTCAATACCTCTACCTGAACGTTCTGCACATTCAAAATTTATATTTTCTCAAATATAAGGTTTAAAGATGCGGCCGTCTCCCAAGGAGCATTAATCAATTTTAACGTACTGTATATTAAAAATAGGTTTGTTCTAATTTATATAAGTTAGTACCGTGGTTTAGTTTGCACGCTGTTTACCTATGCTGGAGTCTTTTTGTATGTCACAAATTCTTGTTTGAAGCAACTTTGAAACAAAACACATCGAGAAAAATACCATTACATTCTTCAATGATGGTCATTTTTTTATTTTAACAAATTTGCGTTAGCGAGATTGAAAATTGAAAATCTTGCTAACGTTATGTATAAATTAAAATTATGTACAAACTAATAAAGAACGAACTAGCAACTAGCGCATGGTATTAGAAGATTTATCATTAATTTTGTTATTTCCTAAGTAAGTAATTATTAAAAGAAGGCACCAGACCGGGAAGGTTATGTAATTGTTATTTCATAAGAAACGGAAAATAAATTCGCATCTTGGAATAAGCACTGTACAACAATAAGCCTATTAGTAGGCTGACTGACCCAAAGTACTTTCGCACCATATATAGTTTTCACTCATATTGCCTTTCTTGTCAAATCATTGAAACTTGCCAAGATTTTTGTTTCATTACCTCTATGCTTAAGTGTTTGTTCCACTTGTCTACAACTCTATTTCCTTCCCAGTGTATACATGTATCCTTTTAAAATATAGATGTTTTACAGTTTAATGTTAATTTTTTAATACAGTATTGATTTTATGTTAACACATCTTTGTATTTATTTGTCTTTCATTCGCTTGTTTTCTTCATTTAATATTGCCAACCACTTGGGCTGGATGGTATTTCTCTCTCACACAGCAAAGCTGTACATTAGTATTTAAATTGCTAAAGCTTTTATATAAAAAAAAATTTGTTTTCCTTAATGTGTACATTAGTATCTATTACTGTTGTCTTGGCTTTAGGTCTTTACTAATCATTAATCTCAGATCTCCCTTTTAAAAGGATTTGTCAATATTAACTTTATGGAAGTATATTTTGTGTTACATTTCCCACTATGTCAGAAACAAACAATTTTCAACATCGAAAGGCATTACCCACTACTGAGAATTTTAATGTAATACACTTTTTTCCTGTATCTTCTGAAAAATTGCATTATTTAGCTGTTCATCCCAGTATCAAGCTCAGTAATGTATGTCGTGAATAACAGAGGCCCAAAGGCAGAACCCTGAGGCACTTCACTTGTGATTGTTCTCTATTCAGACTTCATACTCTTAAGCTCACTTTTGTGTTTTATTTATTAATACTGCCCTAATCCAGTTCAGTGTTTGTCCTCCAAATGCATCTTCTTCGGCAATTTTCACTCGTGTTTATTGCTAATGAAGTAATGTTATCCGTCGAAAGTATTTGTTTACAGAGCGGAAGGGCAAGTGAGCGGGTTAGCAATGTATATAAAGGCTGAGAGTTGCTGACTGCCACACACTCACATCCAGACTTCGTCTGCTCACTCCTTCTTTACCTTCCGAGCTACAATAATCATGGTCACTTTACACCGAATTCGTCGTCCAAGAATGCTATTATATTGTACTAAACATCGTAGGATATTGACAACAACAAAAAATGCCTGATGCTAGGTTTCAACATTTATCAACTTGATGATACCTCTCACATATTAAGACTCAATTACAGTTAATTAATATTTCCAATGTATTTTTGTCAGCAGCTGCGAATTGTGGTAGTGACGTTGCTGGTGGTAGCAGTGACTGGTCAGATTGATAGGACACCACCACCACGTCCAGATGGTTGTAACTACTACTGTATTAAGCCAGCAGGACCTAACAGAGGGGCAGCCTACTGCTGTGGCCCCGCAAACCTTCCTGTGAGACCTGAACAAAGTGAGTATGCATTTTTGGGTGACCTTTTAGCGCTGTAGACTCACAACTACCTGGTCCTGGGTTCGATTCCTAAGGCAAGTGAGGTGTGTTGGCACGATTCCTTAACCCCGATACCTATGTTCACCTAACTTTAAACAGGTAGCTGCAAGTTAGTCAGCTATTATGGGTTGTATGCAGCAAAAAAATTGCCTATTTTTGACCTACTGAGATTTCGATAAGCCTAACAGGCGTCCTGTTCCTGCCAATGGGAAACTATTTTAATGACAAAATAGCTAATTAAAATGTGTCTCATATTGACAGTCGTGTAACTTCCCGTCTCCTCCGCAGGGCACCCTGGACGGTGTCCTCCTCCTCTGTCAGTGTGCACTAGCTTCGCCTTTGCAATACCGCAGGTTAGTTCTAGTTAATGTGCAGACGTTTTGTATTTTGGTCCCTACTGGTAGAATAATTGTGTAATTTGTCTATTTTTATATCCGCAGTTAAACTGCAGTAAATAGCATTAAAAATTATACTAAATTAATCTATACTAAAAATATAATCCATGTTACTCATTTAAATTAATTTTATTAGACTAGTGATAGCAACATGTGTAGCAGTATTTTCATAGAACATGTCTTCCACGCAGTATTTTCATAGAACATGTCTTCCACGTAGGTGTGTCCACATGATGGCCATTGTCCCCGTAACCAGAAGTGCTGCTTTGACACCTGTCTCGATTTACACACCTGTAAACCTGCCCAGTAATTATAATTAATTTGAGATCAAGAACGCAGTCTGTTGTTCAGCTGTAAGTCGTCTGAAGATGGAACTTATCACTGGAAATTCAGTCACTTGGTGTTGGATTTAAGACATCAAGCTCCTGGTCATCCAGAAAATATACTTTAGTTCTGAATATAGTCCAGGGCTATAGTATACCCCTCAGTATATCTACACAAATGCAAAATACACCTGTGTCTTTGTTTTTTGTTTTTTTGCTTATATCTTCAGCTTACTGAAATATCCACAAAAACTTTAATTGTTTCTTAATATTGCTTTGAATTAATAATTTATTTTCATGAAGAAACATTTGTTTCGTGGATAAAATAATTTTGTTTATTTAAAATAGCTGCTTGAAATTTTTTTCTGCTTATGTATCATAATTATATATTAAATTTTGTCTCACCAAAAACTAATCTATTTACTGAACTGACTTTTGGTTATATGATCCTAACACATATATAAACGTAAAAATTAAAATATATATTAAACAGTATCCAGAATTAGCAGAATATATAGCTACACTGTGCCTGCAAAGGTCACTGAATTACTCTTGATCACCTATTCACAAACGAGCCCGTCCTCTAGAGTTTTCACAACGTCACAAAACGTATATATTTCAAATGAAGATTACACAAAAAAATTACAATTAAATTAATACATCACGTTTGGCACGATACTGTAAATCTCCGTCATTTCAAGGCGGTACCTGTGTTTCCAGGTATGCCTCCTGAAATTGGCAAGATTTACCTCAATTGTGTTATGTTATGTATGGTTAGGTTAGTCTTTTACTAAGTTATTCTTTGTTCCGTTAGGTTAGTTTGGTTAGAATACATCTGATGAAATCAATTATCAGCCAATTTCGATTTGTCTACCTCGCTTCAGCATACCAATATATAGCCTAGTTAACTTACGGTAAAACTCTCATGTATATACACCTTCTTCCTCTTAAGGAAGTCATTAAGGTGTATATACAGAAATTAAATAATTGTTATTATAAGTATAACCAGAATAAATTCCCAATGGATTATCTATACTATACGGGAATTTGTAGAAGATTAGTTAAGCTAATTTATTTAATAATTATAATTAATATTTATATATTAAAATCAGGATTGTAAATGACTCTGATCCCTGCTGTCATTTGAGCATTTGTAATAGATAGGAACGTTTGTGGTTCTGCTCTAAAGACACGTTACTAGTCCATGAAGTCTTGCTCGCGGGTTCACAGAGTCCTCGGTTATTAAGAGGTAATTTTGTTGGAAATCTGTGTCATCACTACGGTGGTGAACGTCATCCTTCACCCTCAGGCCACAGTGTAAACAATTGTCTTTGATGACGGTAATCATCACTCTCTACTTGGTGATGACGGTAATCATCAGTCCCTACTTAGTGATGACGGTAATCATCACTCTCTACTTGGTGATGACGGTAATCATCACTCTCTACTTGGTGATGACGGTAATCATCACTTTGAAACTTAGCACAACAGGGAAAATATCACTGTAATCTTCAGCCAGTTGATTTGCTTAATTATTTATTTCGCCGACCCTATTTGATCCCTGGCTGCCAAAAGTATGTTAATAAATATGCCAAAATTATTACCTAAATAGTATATAACCTGACAAAAAGTTCCAAATTTAGAATTTAACGTACAAATGAGATTAATATTTATAAAAATACAGTATACTTGAAATATACCGTGTAGAAAGTAAAATATAATTAAATATATATTACTTACCTCTTGCTTAGAAGGTGGCTGCTTCCTCTATTTTTTATACTGCTTGATGTTATTGCAAAGGTAGAATTGTGGTGTGAATTTAGTGGTCTGTTTCTTTCAATGTACTTAAGGCATGTAAGAAAGTATTAACAGTTTCCGTTCTATGATTTAATAGGTTTTTCACTTATGTTAAGTGGAGAAAATCTTGTCACAGCTGCAAAGGGGGAATGAGGCGGTGACAGGAAGTTCATCATGAGGCGGTGACAGTTCATCATGAGGCGGTGACAGTTCATCATGAAGTGATGACAGGAAGTTCATCATGAAAGAGAATAATGCCGAGAAACGATTCTTATCACCGCATTTTCCCCGTTGAAAGTTTGCATATCTTCCTATATAGTGTAATATTCCCTTATAACTCACATTCACAATAGTTACAAAAATGCTTTATACTGGTCATTCATACTTGTAACGACCCACCCGCAACATGGTTCATGAAGCAATATGTTGTTTAAGACACTTTGTGTACGCACTTGACTTTTTGCAATTTCTTTTTAGGAGTCACCACCGACCCGCCCGAATCGCTGTCATAACCAGTCTTCGTTTCTGTCTCACAATGACGGGGTTTAAAATATCACCATACACAAGCACTTCACAGTACACGAGTACTTCACAGTACACGAGTACTTCACAGTACACGAGCACTTCACAGTACACGAGTACTTCACAGTACACGAGTACTTCACAGTACACGAGCACTTCACAGTACACGAGTACTTCACAGTACACGAGTACTTCACAGTACACGAGTACTTCACAGTACACGAGCACTTCACAGTACACGAGCACTTCACAGTACACGAGTACTTCACAGTACACGAGTACTTCACAGTACACGAGCACTTCACAGTACACGAGTACTTCACAGTACACGAGCACTTCACAGTACACGAGCACTTCACAGTACACGAGTACTTCACAGTACACGAGCACTTCACAATACACAAGTACTTCACAATACACAAGTACCTGGTGATACCATGTGCTGGTGATAGAGGCCCCTGCACCTGGCAGGCAGGAGCCATGTGACCAGTACGTCCACACTTAAAACAGGTTTTCAATTGTCCACTGTAAATAAATTTAATATAATGACCTGCTACCGACACTGATGAAGGAATATTACGGTGAAGTTCCATTTTTACTGTTCTTGTTCCATTTAAACGCCCTTTCCCTGGTCCATAGGTAAATTTATTGAAACGAACATTGTCCACTTTCCCATATTGTTGACTTGAGAATGGTCCAGGACGGACCGAAACGTCGTCGTCCCTTCACCTTCTAGTGTGTAGGAGCAACGACAAACACGTCCACCCACCAGACGCCAGTAGCAGAGAGAACCATAACACGACTGCTCACCATCACGTCCACGACGAGACTCCTTATCATGTAATAATTTCCCCCTGTAAATTATTGTAAATATAATCTCCAATATCAGTGGTTGATCAAGAGATGGGATTACGTATGATTTCGGTAGTATCATGGCGAGACTTGTTCTGTGAATATTTGCCTGACGACGGTCGATGGGGTCCAATGACTAGGCTACGACCTCCATTTTATATTACGCTAAGTAAATGTTTTCTCTTGTAAACATCTTGATTTGTGACGGATGTTGTCTTTACCAAGGAATGTTTATAGGACTGTGTATAAGTAGTCTTGGATATATTTATTTGGGTAGTAGGTACCTATTTTTAATAGTGAGTGCTTAATATTGTATCCATGTTTACAGGACTAGACATTTAATTAATGTTTTTAAGTTTCGTCATTGTAATTTTTGTGCTTCATTTCTACCAACTGATTAGTCCACTCACAGACAAACAAGTGTTGTAATGGTCATACATATTACTAGATAATGAGATGAATTTTTGAGAAGATATTCTTATAGCTGCGAAACTTCCGCTCAATAAAAGTCATTTTCATATTCGAGTTTCTCTTCATTGCTGAGACATAGTCTACCCGGTTTGGTGCCTTCTTTTAATAATTACTTACTTCACTTTATTGCTAAATCTTTGAATATTGCTTTCTCGGGTCAGTTATTTCTAAGTAAATTAAGCCTCCTACGCATAGCTCAGCCAGCATACAAGTGTTCCTGCATCACATGGTCCTTAAAATCTGCTACAAAAGTTCTTGCTTCGCATCCTATCAAACTTGAGCACAATTATAGCATGGAGTACAATAAATGGGATTAAAAATAAATCAATTACATATAATTGCTCTCTATACGTCAGTGAAGGGCACCTGGGAGGGTCTGGCCAGGTATATAGCTGATGAGATAATGATGGGATCATCACTCGCCAGAAGACCTCATCAGCTCACTCACCTGAAGTACTCATCAACACATCCTCACTCACCTGAAGTACTCATCAGACCCTTGAGTCTCCAATCACGGTAAGTGAAAACTTAATCTTACGCCTCCTTGTGGGCCAAAAGTATTACACAGTGTAAATGTAATTTTTATTCGTGTTTGTTTTAAATTTCCCAATTTCAGTTTATTTTTTAATTTTCCAATTGTCATTATGTATCGGGAGAGAATGTTTACGTTAGTGTAGGTAGAGTAGCTTGTTGTCTACAAAGGAACATTTGACTAGAAACTTTTATGAAGTAAATATCACTGTAAACATTAATTTACATCTTGTCAGCATTAATGTAGTTTTCCTCATTTAGAACAAAATGGATTTTAAAGAAACTATTGGACACGAATTAAATTTTTAAACTTGTTTTTATTTCTACCAGGGCGCCAGCAGCCTCGCAGGAAACAAGACGCTATCTCATATTAAAAAGTTTTCTAGGGATAACTAGAACAGCTACATTGTTCTCTCTGCTAGGTCGCTAGTGACCTTGCAGGAAGTAAGGGGCTGTATCATGTTATGAAGTTTCTCTAGTGGCACATAGAACAGTTGAATTGTTCTTGCGGTCAGTTCATCATATATTTAATTCCTGTTGGTTGTTCAACATAGTTGCTTGATAATCTCGAGGTCTTTGTCTCTCGAATTCATGCAAGCTATAAACATATACTTGGAAATATGTCTCCATCCTTCTGAAGATGTATTATTAAAATACGAAAGTACTTAATAAAATTCCTGTTTCAATTCTTCCTCCGTGGTTTGACACTGTCACATTTTTCATCACGTGTTAATTTTCGTGATTTACACACATATTTCTCCATATTCAAATTCAAAATTCAAATGTTTATTCAGGTAAAGTTCAAGTTCAAGTTCAAGTATGTTTATTGAGACAAGAAAAAAATACATCTCAAAGGGATAGAGTAGCTTAGGCTATTTCTACCCCCCTCTACTTCAAGTCCCTCAAGGGGCGCACAAATTCAGTGAGTACAGATACACAAATCACAATACAACATTTAACATTGCATATTAATATAGTAAGTGTTACAATCATTGGGGCAAAATTCTTGTAGTTCCTAAGTATTCTGTCTATCATATCATTATCACACATCCAAACAATTTGAAGTGGTACACTACTTATTTCCTTATTTCTATGGTTATCCATAATTTGCCACTTTAATACATAATGGTCTTCCAAGTTCAAGTAGGTTTATTGAGACAAGTTAAAAAAAAAAAAAAAAAAAAAAAAATCAAAGATTAGCTTAGGCTATTTCTACCCCTTCCCATACTTCAAGTCCCTCAAGGGGCGCACAAATTCAGTGAGTACAAATACAAGAATCCCATGTAACATATCAGGTTAATATAGTACTATCTAAGAGTATAATAGTGTACATCCACCGCACTAGATTTTAACCCATTAACGCTCCAAGATAATATTCTCACTCTACTTTCATCCATGATTTAATAAAACTACCTTTGCCCTGTCTGTCACATTCCATGAGATACGAGATTTTCTCAGACAGACTCTCCCAACACTGTAACATTTCTGCTTTCTCCTCATTTGCACAACAGCTACTAGCATCAAAGGTGATCTTATTCATATCTAATTTCTTTCTTATTTCTCTATACCGTTTTACTTTAACCTTTGTTTCGACATTTGTCACTACAGAAGGTTGAACGCTAACACTACTAGAAAGTTCATTTTCCTGACTATCCTCTATCATCAATACGTCATGTTATTCAGGTAAAGTACATACATACATACAAGGAGTGATACAAATATTGATGAATTTATAGATAGAGCTAGTACATACAATGCCTAAAGCCACTATTACGCAAAGCGTTTCGGGCAGATCGGACCGATATATATATCGGAAAATGTACTTAACCACTATTTGTAAATTGGGGCTCATTCGATGCGTTTTAAAACACCCATGATGGATGCCTGTAATAGAAACAATGAGCCTCGTAATGGATGCTCACGGCGGACTGAAGACGCCCTCGGCCTCACGCCTCATCAAATATTGGGATCACTGACCGTCCGAGTCATCAAGTTAGAGTTTGTTATCATAAATGTTTCAGTCTAATCACCAAGGTTATTTTCTGTTAATGTTTATTGTTCTTTGCTCACTTCTTGCTCGAGAAAATACATGGAGCTTGAAATTCAGGACACAAGTGTTGGGGAAAATATTGATTGTAGAATAATTAGGACACAAGTGTTGGGGAAAATATTGATTGTAGAATAATTATTATTATTATTAATATAAAAATAATATTATTGTAATTATTATTATTATAAATAATAATAATTATCATTATTATTATATTTATATAAAAGAACAAACATTTAATACATGAAATAGTGGAAAATTATTAGGTTAGATATGTCCATTACAGAATCAAATCAAATCAAATGTTTATTCAGGTAAAGTACATACATACAAGGTGAGTACAAAACATTAATGGCTTTATAGATAGAACTAGTACATACAATGCCTAAAGCCACTATTAAGCCCATAATACACCACTAAATATGCATTTCAGTGGCGATCATGGAAACCACGTGATCATATATACAGGATGGAGTTATTAATGAATGCACACACAATGGTGCAGCCAAACAAAACAATACACAATAATATATAAACATAGTTTTGACGTTCAATACAGAAACACGACATACAGAGAAAACAATGCATAAATAGTCTTTGGATGTTTATGGTCACAGAAAACCAGAAGAGGGTTGCAGAGCATGCAACAAACAATTGATCACTTACAACTGTGGAAGGTTAATGTGTGGTTCGTGTCAGGTATATATGAGACGGGAGAGGCGCTCAGAGCCATAATATCATAACAGCTTCGTCAGGCTATCTGCCTCTCTCTCTCTCTCTCCTGGTCTAAGTATGGTCAGTGCAAACTTTATTTGTGTAAGCCAAATGATAAATCAGTACATGCCTAATCATACTCAACATGGGCCTAATATATAGAGTAGTCCCTGTAAACGAAGACAAAACACAAATTCTTTAGCATTTTTATATAATTCCCGTTGTCAGGGATAAGAAATTTGTGTACTTAGGCTCAGCGTAGTCACTCTAGGTCAATTTCTGACCTTCCCCAAGATGCAACAAGCCTTATCAAATCTCATAGCTCAAGCACATATCACTATGTTAAGTTTTCTACAGATATCAGTATCGTGGGGCACAAGTACAGGTGTTAAAGGTTCGTTCACCGTGTCATTTACAGTTTATAATCACTTCTGACCTCACCTGTTTTTTTCCAGCTGCGATTTGTGGTTGTGACCTTACTGGTGGCAACAGTTGTCGGTCAGTTCGACCAACGGCGGCGCCGGCCACCATTTCCGTTTCCATTTCCACCACAACCATTTCCACCACCACCATTTCCACCATCAACACCACAACCAGATCTAGATGGTTGTAACTATTATTGCATAAAGCCTGCAGGACCTAATGCGAACGCAGCATACTGCTGCGGCCCACCAGGACTTCCTGTACTAAAGGAAGAGAGTGAGTATTTTTAACATTTAACACACGCACACACACACGTTCCTAAGGGCCCGGGTTCGATTCCTGGCCGAGACAGAAACAAATGGGCAGAGTTTCTTTCACTCTGATGCCCTTGTTCACCTAGCAGTAAATAGGTACCTGGGAGTTAGACAGCTGCTACGGACTGATTCCTGGAGATGTGTGTGGATATGTTAGAGAAAAATATATATAGTAGACATAATAGAGGAAACATACATTGGTTAGAAAGGCGGAGTACAAGAGCTAATAACTTAATTCTGCAAACACAAATAGTAAATACACACACATCGACATGGACGCCAACCTGTGACAGTCCCCTGCCCCCACTAGGTTACCTTACAAACTTGGTTGAGTCTAGACCCTAGCGTCGGCTCCAACCCTCGAGAGACAAGTAAAGAAATATTTATTTATTTAAAATTGAACTATTATGCAACATCTGTGTGTAAGGAGTTGTAAGAGGTAACAGTGAAGCAAACTACTCTTCTCGTTCACAGTTCATGCTGGTAAATGTCCTTCTGCCTTGTCTATCTGCACGAGGGCTCCGACTTTTTTTGCTCGGGATATTTCTCGTAATATTCCGATTCCACAGGTAAGGCAGCGTTCACCTTCAAGTTTTTTAAGCATATGTCCAGGTATTTGAGACATAAGATCATTTTTAATGAAAGTCATTCCATATGCTACTTTGTAATTTAGGTTATAATAAATTTAGGTATGATAATGCACTGGCAACTGCTATTGGACGAGTGACTAAATTTATCATTGTATTCTTTCAGGTGTGTCCACATGACGGACACTGTCCCCGTAACCAGAAGTGTTGCTTTGACACCTGCCTTGATATACACACCTGCAAACCTACCCAGTAAGGTCTATTAACTTCAAGACGAGAGCAAGACTGTTGCTCAGCTGCAAGCAGTCCATAGATGTGAACATGTGATTGGAAAATTACTTGCTTAAATATTTAAGATTAAAGGTCTCAATCTCAATTGAGTTTGTAGGCCATTGAGATCCCTGTCTCAATAGGCTGCAAGTTCATCACCGTACTATTTATTATTTGCATATATAATGTACCCTGAGAATCACAACACTTGTGTAATTACTCAGAGCTACTCAGAGCAGTGAATATGTGGCCGCCATGGGTAAGTCCGGTTAAGGCCAGCACTGAATGGGTGACAACGAGGAAAGCCTCGTCCTTAATAAGGGCGAGGCTTTCCTTAATAACTCTTGAAGCCTATAGCAGCCGCTCGATCCTGACAACAATATACCATAACGGAACATATTCCTAAATATTAGTAATTTGCCTTATTATTTGTCAATTCCGGGTTCGGGGTTGCACATATTTGTATTAAGAATGCACTTAATAAATTAAATAATTTGGTTTTAAGGTGTTTTACAAAATCGTTCGATCAGGCTAGCTCAGACATTCAGTGCTTCACTGATAAATTTTGTTAGAACCACAACGCTATAAATGCTTCTCCCACGTACTACCAATACAAATAATCGCCATCAAAACCTAAACACATAACCTAACCTATGCCTATATATGCATAATATGCTAATATATTATAGTATTAACTTATATTTGAGAAAATTTCCGTTTTGAATGAACAGCATGTAAAAATTTATGAATGCGCCTGTGGGGTCGACCGCTGGATGCATTGGACTTGAGTCGAGGATGGGTTGAAATGCTTCACATAGACCTATGTTTTGGGTACTACAAATAAAAATAATCCCCAACAGAATCTGAACACCTAACTTAACCTAACCACTGTCTAAATATGCACAATATGATAATATATAATAATATTAATTTATATTTGAGAAAAGTTCTGTTTTGAATTAACAAAATGTTGAAATTGATAAATGTGTCTTTGGGGTCGACCGCTGGATAGAATGGACTTGGTCTGAGGACGGGTTGCACCTATGTTTTACTCTGATTGTTTTTGCTCTTGACACGAGTTAAAATGTAGCTTTCGTACACATACACATTTCGTATTTACATACATGCGAAGTGAGCTTTATATCATACAAAAATGTTTTAACAGTACGGGTTGAAGGGTCGTTTAACACCCCCCTTCCTTCCGGGTATATGGGCCAGTGAGCGGGTCTTTGTCAGGTATATAAGGGTGTGGTGAGGCGTGAACACTGTAATATGAATGTGGTGTGGATCTTGGTAGCTCGCCTTCTCGTCTTATTCAGTCATGATCTAAATCTAAATGAAATTTGGCGTTTTAAAGTTATTTTGTGGTCTTAATGAAATTACACACTAATTATGGGTAGCTTTAATCTGATTCAGTGTTTGGTGGGGTATTGGAACAGGTTGGAATTATCATGATTGTGATGGTGATCGCGGTGACTAGCGACCCGCTGCTGGAGCACGAGGAGTTGCTAGCGACCTGCTGCTGGAGCACGAGGAGTTTCTAGCGACCCGCTGCTGGAGCACGAGGAGTTGCTAGCGACCCGCTGCTGGAGCTCGAGGAGTTGCTAGCGACCCGCTGCTGGAGCTCGAGGAGTTTCTAGCGACCCGCTGCTGGAGCACGAGGACGCTAGCGACCCGCTGCTGGAGCACGAGGAAGCTAGCGACCCGCTGCTGGAGCACGAAGAGTTGCTGGAGGAGGAGCTAGTGGAATCTCGCAAGAAGCGTCAAGTCTGCCTACGACGCTGCATAAAACCTATAGGACCTCACTCGGGGCAGTCTTACTGTTGCGGCCCATCACAACTGCCTGTAGTAAGAGAGATTGGCAAGTATCTTTACTTGCGCAAGGATTTAGATACACCAGATTAGTTTAATTTATTAACTTCATTTTTCCCCCTACAGTACATCGTGGGTTGTGCCCTCCCCTATTTAAAGCATGCACGCCAAACCTTCGACTTAACCCTCCTGTCAGTAAAATTGGTTTGCTTTTTTTAATGATCATATAACATTGGTTTATACTTTTTATAATTTGGTTAATAAAACAATATCCTCCAACAAATGGAAATAACTTGAGCTAAACACTATTTCCACTCCTAACACAGGTCTGCCCACATGACGGACACTGTTTGCTAACGCAAAAGTGCTGCTTCGACACCTGTTTAGACTACCACACCTGCCAACCTGCCCATTAGTTTCTTCTACATTTGCTATGTCTTCTTATCTTGTAATAACCCGAACTAATAAAGCTTTAAAGTTTTTTTTTGTTGCGTTTAGTCTGACTTGTCCTCGCAGAAACATTTGTCAAACTGCTTATCCAAACCCTATTCTACATTGGCTCGAAAGAAATGTACCGAATTACATAATTTTTTATTCCTGCAGACCAGAAAAACATTCGAAGTTACTGATGAAGTTTTGTACTGCTACAAAAAAAAACAGGAGTAAATAAACTATGGAAGTTGATCGCCCATTTGATACTAAATTGCCCTAGACAAGGCTGGGGGAAATTAACTTCATAACTACAAATGTCTATAACAAAAGAGGCTGTGAAGCTGGATTCTATACTGGCTAGTTTATCAGAGAATTTAATGGGAATTGTCTTTATACCACAACAAGGCATATAGGACTGTACCCACTTCTTCATGTAGTTTAATCTGTCTTTAAGTTTCAGCGCCATATAATGTTGGTTGGTCTGGAAATTATGGTGGCTTTAATCCTCTGGGCTTTGCAGGGCTTTAAGCCCGACGTTAAATGATATGAGCCATTTAATTCTTTTTCTAGGAAGGCAATCTAAGTGCCCAATGTCTTCTAAAATATCTAAGTTTGTTAAAATACCTTCCTGCTATTATGGTACAGTGCTTAGTGTGTTTTTCTGGTGTCCAGATACAGTCAATCTTTCAATAAAATACCATATAAATCCTATATACATAAATTTTACAAGGCAATACTACATTACTGAGAATTATACAACTGAATATGTAAGGTGTTTCATATTATCACAAAGCATGAACTTTAAACCCCTAAATGTTGCTTATTGTTCTTTTTAAATGATTTACAATTTTAGATTACATTAATAAAAAATAGTCATGGATCCATAACATTATAATTGGGTTTACATGTTTATTATGAATGGAAAATAGTCATAATAAGCAGCAAATTTCTTCACAAAAAAAACTTTACCTGAATATTACATAAGTAAACATTCTTGATGTATAAAAATGCAAATGACAAAGCATGACACATATTTTTTAACGTAACAGCACACAACAACATGGAAGATGGCTTATGTGCCTCTGGTGAGAGTCTGAATTATCATATTAATTAATTAATTAATAACAAATTACTATACACTGAACAAATTAATATGTAAATACCTCTGTTTCTACTAAATTACATCTTTCTTATGAAGGGTTTTCTTAAAGTAGGTTTCCATAGACCTAAGTTTAAAGTAGAGGTAAATATCAGAAGTTCATGCAATAGGTAAAGTCACAAATCTCTCCATCAAAATATATCTGAAAACATAGCAAGAACAGACGTGTCCTTACGACTTGTGGCCACCAGACAATTTGGGATGTTAACAGCCTAAAGAGGCTGTTATTAACCTTAAGGTTGTTAAGTATGATTGGTCGCTCGACATCTCAAGGGAGACCTTGATGGTAATTATTGACACCTTTGGTTTCTTTTAATGCTTATCGCTGCAGCCACCCGTTGTAGGTGCACATTCACCCAACTCTTTTAATAACTTATTTTTATATATTTAATACATAAGTGAGAATAGTTATACAGGTATTTATTTATGTGCAAAATGTTTTCTTCAGAAGCATAATGGTCACTAGGGTTGGTAGTTTCGTTTTGGCCACATTCATAAAAACGTGAGAAGAAATCTACAGTAACATGATTTGAATATAAATCGTGGCTATGAGTACCAAGACTGACCATGGAAGACTGTCTACCTCTGTGAGCCTTTTGGTTTGAAGGGCGAAAGACCTACCAGCCTCTGAAGAGGGTTAAGGCCTCCACAATGCCTTTTTTTTTCTTATCAACTGGGAAGTGCACTTATTTATTGTACAAGCTCCAGGATTAACGTACTTTGTATATATACAGAAGCTGGGTACACCTCTTGATGAACATATCCCTTGCTTGTAGTCATACAAATCCTAACTCGGGCCATTAGTTTTTTGTCAAAACTGAAAAAACTAAATATTAAAAACTACACAATACTACAAAAGTTTTCCTTGGGCTACCTTGGATTTGCACAATTTCGGGTAACATTTTATTTCGTGATAAATGTTAGCAGTGGATGTAAAGGACAATACCAAACAGATACATCTGTATAAAAGAAAATTAGCTACGTGTTGCTAAAAATCCCCATCACACAGGATGGTTAGTCATACAGAGGCATGTGACAAGTAGTCTGCATTGACAGACTCTGGGTGCATTATGAGGTTATCATCACGAACACAAGAGTGAATAAGGCAGCAGTGGTATGAGGATGTCTTCAAGAACACGAGAGTGAACAAAGTAATTGCAACGCTCCAGGTACCTCATGCCAACGGGTCTGAAAATATTTTCACAACTTTGTAAAAAGTGTGATGCCACGAGACCTAAAATTCAAGGGTTAAAAGCCGAGTTTACAACTATAGAGCGTTAGTATTGTTAAAACGTCATCAGGTCTATATATAATGGCATAAATAAGAGACGATAAATACGGAACAGATTTAAGTTTAGGATACAGGTATGAGTGGAAGCAATTAGTCAATTTAATATACTTGTCACTTTACACATAGGTTTTAAATTGTTGAAAAACAAGCTTATCTAAAGGAAACTTAACGCAACTAAAACTAATGTAACATCCTAGTCCAGCTTAAATTATACATATTTTGTTTTTACATATTGGAAAGAGATACATATACGATTTTACGGGCCCTAGTTTCATTATGTTTGTACCCAAACTTATTAAGCTGTTTAAAATCTGTCATGCGAGACTGAAATTTTTTTTTTCAAAACACCGAACCTTGCACATGACCAATTAGTCACTTTAACGTCAGTGAAGGGCAAATGGGAGGTCTGGCCAGATATATATAGGATGAAGCAATGCCGAGAGCATCACTCATCTTAAGATCTCATCAGCTTACAGCATCACTCACCTGAGGTGCTCATCAGCTAACCTGCTCCTCACTCTTTCAAAGCTCGGTTAATCATGGTTAGTGAAGACCTTATTTGTTGTCCTTGTTGGTTACAGGATTGTAATCACGCTTCTATCACTTACATTAATAATATGGCCACATAAATATAAAAAATATCCTATTATGGGAATATATATATATATATATATATATATATATATATATATATATATATATATATATATATATATATATATATATATATATATATATATATATATATATATATATATATATATATATATATATATATATATATATATATATATATATATATATATATATATGATGTTGCAGTGTGTCCTAATAGAACAACGCATTTTAACGTATACTCTACTTAAGGGCAAAAATTGTCGTATTAGAAAATGGTAGAAACTGATTGATATACAAATATTGATATACTGTTATGTTTTCTGCTTTGGGTCATCTGGTAGGTTAGGATAAGGGTACTTTAGTACGATCGTTTCTTGACGTTGGGAAACCTTAGGAGGTCGGGCTGGCTCGATTAAGGCAGCGTCTGGGATGCTCCCGGACGTAGGTTCGAATCCTTGTCACGGCTCTTGTGGATTTGTTCTTAGGAGGACGGGCTGGACGTTGAGCTATCAAGATAATGATGCAGGTTACTTAGGATTCAGATTAGCTTATACACTAGACGATTCGCCAGTCGAATTTGTTGGATTAAAATTTTCCTAGGCTAACTTAACCTTGGCAAGCTTAATCTGAGGCTACGAACAGTATATACAATAAGAAAATGATTTTGTCAGTCAGACGACGCCTGTGCAATGTCTGACTAACCCTCGTCACATATTGCAGACTGTGTCGAGTTCGTCTTCCGAATTGTGTTTAATTTGACCTGGCATGTTGCAGCAGGTGCGTTTGTTGATAGTGGCTCTATTGGTGGCCGCAGTGGCAGGTCGTCGCTATGATAATCGTTACCGACACTATCATGACCGGCGTCCAGTGCCTCAGAGTTGCAGCTACTTTTGCCCCATTCCTGCAGGACCTAACCAAGGCGCACTCTTCTGCTGTGATCCACAAATCTATCCATTCTATCCTGTGACAACAACATCTCAACGTGAGTATTAGATGTCTCAAACATCGAATTTATAGATTTATGAAACTGTGTTGATTCATGGAACAACTGTATTGATTTAGGTAGCACAATTGTCGATTTATGGAACAAATTACAGAGTGACCTAATAGGCTTTGGCTCCCTTAATTCATTGAAGCACAGGGATAGATATATTTATGTGTGAGTTTGGGTGGATGTAAATGTATCAAACATCGAATATATAGATTTATGAAACTGTGTTGATTTATGGAACAACTGTATTGATTTAGGTAGCACAATTGTCGATTTATGGAACAAATTACAGAGTGACCTAATAGGCTTTGGCTCCCTTAATTCATTGAAGCACAGGGATAGATATATTTATGTGTGAGTTTGGGTGTATGTAAATAAGAGCTGCCTCATATGGGCCAATGTATTTTGGGAATACTGATAATTCACACTTACCGTTTGCGAGATACATATGTGATGATATTGGAGTAACCCTTCGTCTCTTCCTCAGCGACTGTAAATAAGCAGTGTCCTCCCTTCGCAATTTGCTTCATCAAGTAAAGATTTCCCAACAGTTTCACAGGTAAGACACTGTCAAGGTGCAGAAAAGTATAATTTGTCTCTATTGATCTAAGTGGAAATTTTTATAAGACTCATTCCATTCGTAATTGTATAATTTATATTAAATTATATTCATGTAATTTACCAACACTGACGGTCGCAACTTGGCGCAAAATGAGTTCATTTCATAATCTGTAAACACGTGCCTATTAGCCTTTGGTCTTCAAATAAAATTAAACGGTTATTAATTTGCTTGAAAATTGATTTCGGTAATGAGGATAACAGGTGTTAATATAAGGGAACATGTCTCCCACACAGGTGTGTGGCTACAAGATGGACCAGATGACCAGATGTGCTGTTCTGAGACCTGTCTAGATTGAAGATAAAACACTTGCTACTGCTGACTTGCAAGCTGTTGACGTCAAGATGAACATACTGAACACCAGTGCTTAAATCTATTCTATTATATATGTTATATTTTTAAATAATGAATTATATTCTTTCGTTTTTCACTATCAATGAAAAGATGTAGTCAGTGTGGTTTCAAATTTTTCTTAATACTTATTATAATACAACACATGTTTCTTGCATACATTTATGGACTATTGCTTATTTAACATCAAACTTTATTTTTATAACTTATTCACCAAGAAATAAAATATTTATTTATAGTTTTTAACTTTGGTTTACCTATGGACTCGTTTATGGCGCGAATATGCAACAGTAAAAAGCCTATTGAAACGGGTAGTTTGGTGTTGAGTTTATGGCCTGTCAACCGCGGGAGGCTTAATAACCACTGCACTGCACACCTGGTTTCGTCAAAAACTTTTTAGTGCAATTGTCAAGGACATATTTTTGTTGTTTTTATAAATGTTCAAGTAAAGTTAATGTCAAAATATTTTCAAACTCAATTATTTCGATTTCAAAACACAAAGAGTAATGAAAACATTAAAAAACATTAAAATATAGCTTAATTAAAAAATAGCACAACTCTCGGAGACCCTAAAGGCACTTTGCGCAGTGCAGTGGCTAAGAGTTATTGACCAGCCAGTAGTGTACTTTAGTCCTGAACACAGTCCAATACCCCTCTTGATATAATGTTTCTTTCGTTCAAGGAGAATTGGTACCTTTGCTTAACTCACCACTTGTCTCCTGTACGGCTCACACTTTTACCACTCCCTATTATATTGATATAATGCTACTTGTGTATATGTGTAGCTGCTTGTCTCCGGTTCCTCTACATAACTTGCCCCTTTATCACCTGTCTCTACTCCCACCCCCTACATATCCCACTTTTGTTCTCCATGCCACATCTTGCACTGTTCGTAACAGTTTGTACGACTCGTTAGAACTCTGGACTGAACATCCTGCAGTCTCCTTTAGCTTTATGGTACGTCATATTCAAAGAGACAATTACTGTACATTCACTCGCAGATAGTTTGGAATAGTTGTTTTTTTAGATAGAAAAGTGATTACTTCAGATTAAAACTACGTCGTCTTGACTATTGACGTTCCATAACACTAGTAACTTGCTGGTTGGTTCGTAAGGTTATGTGGTAGCCTTAATAACCCTCTAGGGGTTAATAAGCTAAATCCAAACCAAGGACACTGGCCCTTAACAGGATCTTGGGTCGTTATGTCCTCCCTCCCCCACGCATGACTGGAGGTGGGGGGGGGGAGGGATCTTCCTGAGTATATAAGAGGGTTGAAGCCGTTTGGGCGTCACACTTCTCACACAGTCTCTTCCATATACTTGTCTTCCTGCCATAATTTGTGATAATGGTTGGTGCAAGGGATTTAGGTATTTAAATTTTATATTAGCGTACATTATATTGTTAGATCTTGTGTTAATTCTGGAGTAATTACTCTTGTTACAGTTGAGTGTTGTGGTGGTAATGATGTTGTTGGTGGGTGTGTTTGGCGGCCCTGAACGGCCCGACGGGTGTAACTACTACTGCAGGAAACCCGCAGGTCCCAATAAAGGCGAAAACTACTGCTGTGGCCCAGAAGGCCTCCCTATTAAGAGGGAACAACGTGAGTATTTAAAACAAGTGAATATAATTGACTTGTAGTTACAAAACGGTATGGTAACATTTATTTCCCTTTCCTCAGATCACCGTGGCAGCTGTGCTCCTCCACTGCAACAATGTACTGGTCGCCTTGCAGCCTTCGTTCAGGTACGAGGTCTTTCATCATGGTGAGGTGGAATTTTTGTTTTTTTTGTTTTATGGAAAACTTTTCAAATTATTAATACATCTTATTTTTCCTCTACAGCCACGCTTGTGTCCCCATGATGGCCACTGTTCCCGTGATGAAAAATGCTGTTTTGACACGTGTCTCGACCACCACACTTGCAAACCCGCCCTATAAAGATGACTGCCGTCATAATTTTTGTATTTTTTAGATAATATACTTGGCATTGCTGTAATTTAAATAAAAAATAATTGTTAACTTGATATTCTTCAAAGTTTAACCCTTTACTCTATATTACGTAATTTAAAATACTAGTGGGAATATCCAATTATATTGGTAAACTATCGAGCTTTTCGATGCCCTTGTCAACCGCTAGTACAGATGATTGATAAAGATTAAGCCAAACAAGAGGTGGCATGAACAGCCCACAAGTGATAAAAAAACCAATTCTGTACATATCAGTGTTCTGAGATTGTATTTAATAGTGACACTGCTGTCCCGGGAAGATACTGCTGGACAGTATTAGAGGGCGTCCATGCTGCTGACCAGAACAGTGGCAGTGTTGATGGCTTCAGGGTGGTTACTAAAAGATTAAAGAGTTCTTCTAAGGTCCTTAGTTGCTTCACATTCCAAGAGATGAAGTAACGGCTATTTTGTGACAGTGTAGCAAAAGATGCATTCCTCTCTCGGTGTACAAATCTCTCGGTTGCATCTGTAACAGACGTAGTTTATATAACTAAACTATTTCCGTGGTAGATTCCTTTGGGGTATTTAAAGTTACTAATTTAGTTGCCTGGAGATACAATATTGTAGAGGGCGAACCTCTTGCTACTCTGGACCTGTCCCTCGATAGCATTCTTGGTGACTGATACTTCTGATATCGTTTGCCTTATGCGTTTGTTCTAGTACTGGGATCCTTGGTGATATTTAGCGTCCTCTGATTATTCTGCATACTTGATGGTGCTACATAGCCTTCCCGGTTTGGTGCCTTTTGATAATTACTTGCTTTTGCTACTCTGTGGGTTTTTTTTTTACACGCTAGTGAAAGGTAAAGTGAGTATATATTAAATGCTCATAACTAAAGGGGGGGGGGGAGGTGGTGAACGCCTTCGACAAAGTTGTAAAAAGATGCAAAACCTCCAACGTAAAGTTAGAGCCGACTTCGACCTAGGTCATATTTCTGTAAACGGTATAAGTGTGATAACGGGACGAAGACTTTAGAACGCTTGCTGGATCGAATATAAACACTGCGAGGGAGGTAGTCAGTGTTGCCGGTGTTTCCCCAAAGTTTAGTGCTGTTCTAATTTTTTTTTTTTGCCCAGAATTGCCATTATTGAATCGGTTATAAATAGGGAAAAGTCACTGTATTAAAAGATTCAAACGCTTACACCTTTTATCTTGAATGTTTGGTTTACTTTAATGTAGTTATTCAGACTTTACCTAGTTATTCATTCCTCCATCCTTACCGTTGGCAGGCTTGTTGGTCGTCTGTTACTGGTAACAAACTACGTTCTCAAGTTGTCCTCGTGGCCGTCCTCCTACCGCGGTAACCAGCGATGGGAAACGGCTCTAGCGAGGTTGCGTATTGGCCATACTCGCTTAACTCGTGGCCACTTGGCGCGCCGCCCTGCTCCTTATTGTCCTAGTTGTATTGCTCTTACGGTCGTGCATATCCTTGAATGTCCTGACTTCCAGGACGAGCGTATCTTGTTTTCCGACCTTTGGTGCCTTCTTTTGATAATTACTTGTTTTCCGACCGTCCCTCGCGGTCGCTTGTCTCTATAGTATTCTTGGTGACTGATGCTTTTGATACCGTTCGCCTTGTGCGTTTCTGTTCTCGTCTTGGCATCCTTGGTGATATTTAGCGCCCTCTGATTATCCCGCACATTTGATGGTGCTATATAGCCTTCCCGGTTTGGTGCCTTTTGATAATTACTTACTTTCACGTAGTCTTACCTAGCATATTGTGGATATTATTCCTTGCATCTATTAAACGGAATTATTGAACCTCTACGAAAATGGCAAGATTTTTTTATTGTTGGCGTGGGGGTTTTGTCATTACTAATTTTTTTCTTGAGGGACCTGCTATATTCCAAACTTCAGGGCTTTCTTCATAATGATGCTATGCCCTAATCTGGTTATGCTACTTTTCTAGTATTATACTAAAAGGCTTTTCCAGAGATTATTGGGAAATTTGAAGACTCATGATTTTTATACAAATGCCATTAAATTTCCATTTTGGTCTTGATAGCCCTGCAAACATTGCATCTATAGCAGAGGTAACAAGGCCCACTTGCAATCTTAATGATTAACACAAGTGGGAGTGTAGTAGTAACCACAAATGCCAGTTGCGATGATCAAACTGTGACCAACACGAGGATAGTGAGAGTAGAGAAGCAGCCTAGTATGAGGCTACAAATTAACTAACCTGCACAGTGAAATTTCTGAATTTAGGACGGGCAAAATCCTTGGTTCTAAACTAGTGTATATTCAGACTTCAAAAGGTTAATTTTGCTGCGGTTAAATATACCCAGAACGTACGTGGATGAAACTATGCAATGTGGAATAACCCACATTCAACGTGTCCGCCTCAGGGAGGGTTTCATCCTTTAACTGAAGCAGTTATGATTGGTGGATGACAGCCGTGCAGAAGACGACCACACTTAGTTCTGCGTCGTTGAGAAGACGCCTGAGACTACGAGCTAGATTTTGGCCTATATATCTTGACTGGAATAAGAGGACCCGCCTTCCTCATCTTTTCCCACTAAGATTAGACCTGTTTTGACTACAGCTCAAGGTAACCACTTGTACTGTTCTCACGTAATTCGCCGCCATAACTGAAGCGACCACAACCGTACACTAATTTCTAAATATGAAAGTATGACAGTAATATAGGTCGGTATTATGAAACTCAAGAATGGAAAAGAAGTCAATCTGTTCTAGATTGATAAAGACCGGAACTGCAGGATATTTTCTCCAACAGTTTCCAGGACGAGCGTGTGTCTTGCTTTCCGACCGCCCCTCGCGGTCACCTGTCCCTCAATAGAATTCTTGGTGACTAGGATACTTTTGATATCGTTTGCCTTATGCGTTTTTGTTCTCGTATTGACATTATTGGTGATATTTAGCGCCCTCTGATTATTCCGCACATTTGATGGTGCTCCATAACCTTCCCGGTTTGGTGCCTTCTTTTGATAATTACTTATTTACTTACTTCCCCAACAGTTAATGAACCAAAGAGCTGACTTCAGTTTGCGAACACGGTTGAATTTGACCTTAGTATTCCCATCTGTTAAGTCTATTGTTCCAAGCAGTCTGGTCTAATAGAAGTTACTGACTCCAAAAGGCTTGAAAGCAGCAGTATAAAAAGCAGATATAATAGATCAGAAACCAAATGAATACGGGTAGTACAAAACGTCTTCAAGATTGTGTGACATAATGGTTGCCACTGGCTAATGGTTGTCCCCGGCTCCCCCGTCTTCAGTGGATGGTGATGTGGGCGACGATGTTGGGGTGCCTGCGGCTCCTGTGGGCCGTGTTGTAGCGGTGATGGGTCCTGCGGCAAGATTGTCACTTGGTCCTGTGTCTTCTCCGGCTGCCTCTGCATCCCCGGTTCCTGGTTCCCTGGGTTGGGAGGTTATGACGCCGACCGAGGTTGCGGGAGAGGGATGGGACTTAGTGCTGGTTCTTAAGAAAGATTCTGTTCCTGCGGCCCCCGTGGCTCTGGCGTCCACGTCTGTGACCTCCGCCATCGCCCTCTTGTCATTTTGTCCCCTGCGACTATGCCCGCTGTGTTGCTGTCCTCTGTCCGGCCGGCTCCTGTGCTCCAGCCCCTTGTGGTTCCACCGTCTGCGCCGCCGAGCTCTGTGCGGCCTCTTCCCGTGACTTCCGCCCCCGTGGGGAAGGGCGCCGAGCAGGATGTTCCTGACTTCATGTATCGCTCGCGGGGATCGCGTGGTCACGTTAACTCGTCTGCGGAGTTGTGGGCTCCGTGGGATGCCAACAGGAAGACCCTCGTCGTCTATTTCCGGATAAATATATTGATGATTAACTGTGTGTGTGTGTGTGTGGGTTCTTGGTTTGTGTTGTTTTCTTTGCTTTGATGTGCTGTGAAATACGGTTATTTTTTTTCATGTGTCTCTTGCCTGGTTATTGTTGGGTTATAGTGCTATAACTATAATATTGTTGATTATAGTGCTTCGAGGTCAACCCCGGAACTCACAATTCCTGCGACGGCGCTGGAACCAATCGTATTAGCGTTCGCCTTACCATTGGAAACTCTCGGCGCCGTGGAGAGGGGGGTCCTGCTGCCTGGGTAACAGCTTCTCCTCCATATCAACCTACCCTGGCTTTGCGCCCTGGAGAGGCCACTCCAGACCGACAACCAGAGCGCAACACCGTAGTCTCCTGAGACTGATGGATGCCTACTATAGTGCTATGCTGATTTTTCTTTTCTGTTTAAATGTTACCTATGTTTATGTTGCCATTGTGTGTATCGTACGACTTTTGTTTGTGTTTTACTGTTCTTAAGTTTTGTTCATGTGTTTCTTGCCTTGTCAATGTGGATGATGATGATGTTTTCTGTGATGCTGTTTTTGTGTTTACCAAATAAAAAGAAAAAATAATTCCCACGTCTGTGCAACATATAATAAAGTCAGCACTCAATAGTTCTCTCTCCTGCTTCCGGGTGGAACAGGTTACAGAATGGAGCAGGTTACTTTGTAACTTATAGTTTAGAACAAATCCCGCGTAGTTGAATAGTTTATAAACAGGAGAAGCCTCGCGTGTGCCAACAGACCTCCTGCAGTCCCTTCTACCTTTATGACGCGTCACATTCAAAGAGACAATTACTGTACATTTACTCGCAGATAGTTTGGAATAGTTGTTTTTTTAGATAGAAAAGTGATGACTTCAGATTAAAACTACGTCGTCTTCACTGTTGATGATCCATAACACTAGTAACTTGCTGGTTGGTTCGTAAGGTTATGTGGTAGCCTTAATAACCCTCTAGGGGTTAATAAGCTAAAACCAAACCAAGGACATTGGCCCTTAACAGTCTTTTGGGTCGTTATGTCCTCCCTCCCCCACGCATGACTGGAGGTGGGGGGGGGGGGAGGGATCTTCTTGAGTATAAAAGAGGGTTGAAGCCGTTTGGGCGTCACACTTCTTACACAGTCTCTTCCATATACTTGTCTTCCTGCCATAATTTGTGATAATGGTTGGTACAAGGGATTTAGGTATTTAAATTGCATATTAGAGTTTGTTGTTAGATCTTGTGTTAATTCTGGAGTAATTACTCTTGTTACAGTTGAGTGTTGTGGTGGTAATGATGTTGTTGGTGGGTGTGTTTGGCGGCCCTGAACGGCCCGACGGGTGTAACTACTACTGCAGGAAACTACTGCTGTGGCCCAGAAGGTCTCCCTATTAAGAGGGAACAACGTGAGTATTTAAAACAAGAAAATATAACTGACTTGTAATTACAAAACGATACGGTAATATTTATTTTCTTCTCAGATCACCGTGGCAGCTGTGCTCCTCCATTGAAGCAATGCACTGGTCGCTTTGCCGCCTTCGCTAAAGTACGTACTTTATTTTTTCAGTCATGGGGGGGGGTTAAGTTCTTATAAAAATCTCATCATAGAAAAGGCTACTTTCATTAAGTAACTTTTTTTTTTCTACAGCCACGCTTGTGTCCCCATGATGGCCACTGTTCCCGCGACGAAAAATGTTGTTTTGACACGTGTCTAGACCACCACACCTGCAAACCCGCCCAGTGAAGATTACCACAGGCTTAAAAGATTAGTTTTAATACATAACTAGACTGGTACTTGACACTATATGCTTTAATATAAATTAGTGTAATGGTCTACTTGCGTTTGAAAACCCTGAAACTTAAGCCTTCTAACAAGTGTTTATATAATTTTTTCTATTTTTACTCCGGTTGTCTGCAAACAAGAGCCCTGAAAACATTAAATCAACTGTAAGAGGTAACGAGGCCCACTTGCTATTTTAAAAAGATTACCACAAGTGGGAGAGTTTACTAATAATAACACTTGAGATGATCAAATAATGCCTAACACAAGGATACTAAGAGTAGAGAAGCAGCCTAGTATGAAGCTATAACTTAACGAAATTACTAAATTTAAGTCTCCGTGGTGTAGTGGTAAGACACTCGCCTGGCGTTCCGCGAGCGCTATGTCATGGGTTCGTATCCTGGCCGGGGAGGATTTACTGGGCGCAATTCCTTAACTGTAGCCTCTGTTTAACGCAACAGTAAAATGTGTACTTGGATGAAAAAACGATTCTTCGCGGCAGGGGATCGTATTCCAGGGACCTGCCCGAAACGCTACGCGTACTAGTGGCTGTACATGAATGTAACAACTCTTGTATATATCTTAAAAAAAAAAAAAAAAAAAAAAAAACACGAACTAACAAAATACTAGGTTCTAACTAATATTTAAACTTGTAGGATAACTTTGTTAAATATGTGCACGTGCCATTTGTGAAGGGACAGTCTTTAGTAAGGAAACTAAAATGTGAGGGAATAGAGTATGAACATGTCTTTAATGGAAGAAAGTGTTAGGAAGACAGTGGCATACCTCTTTACTTTCTCCAGCTTCGTCTTGTGCTTGATGTTACCTATCGTACGTTACGGCTCGTGATCCTACAGCAGCCAAATTTTAATAAGTCTAGGGATACGACACAACTGCTGTTCTCAATAGCGAATCACCAGTATAACCCCTTAATAGGTAATGAGCACATAATTAACAATCTTCGTTTAGGACTGAAGAATAGATACACAATATGATAGCTATATATTCAAAACAGTATAATATAAAAACACAGATGGTAAAGTTAACTTATAGAATATGATTGTATAGTCATGTCAAAATATATATAATAGTAATTATGGCAATAAATGAATGTAATAGACTTATCTCCCATATGTTACTCTCCTAGTCCTGTATCAGCTACTGAACTCTCACTCTGTCGCCACCCACATTCACACCTCCCGTCTGCCTCATCCCAGGATGAGGGATGGAAACTAAGGACTTTTTAATATTATAAACTAATTGAACAACCACTTGTTCTCAAAACACATAAGAATGTAATTTACATATAATAGTTGCTTACAAAATATATAAGTATAATGACACCTGTTTAATTACAGTATATGAAACATTTTCTAACTAAAATAAAGTGACATCTGGAACTCTCAAACTGAACAGGTCCAGCTTTCCCGTATCAATCAGGTATTAGACTTGTGCAACGGCAACCGCTCTCCTGTCCACTGACGCTGCCAAACCACACGACAATTTACCCAAAACACAATGTGTGTACATATACATGCAATGATAAAATAAAATATTTATTTTAAATTTATATACGTATTCTGCTAGGAGTACGTAACACTTCCACCTCCAAGAAAAAAAATGCAATAGATTGAAGATCCATGGCATTTTTTCAAAGTAAAATGTATGACACTTGAGATTTATGGTATTAATTACACCAAACATGTATAAGTAATAAGAACACATCTCTGGACAAATATGAAAACACTCCAAATATAGTGTTACAGGAAACTCAGAAATTTCAGTCTTATGACTATGTTCTACATATGTGTCACTGGAGTATGCAAATTTATCTCTCCAAGGTACTATCTCATTTATTTCACTTTGTTTTAGATCATATTTCACACTCCTATCTACATTATCATTAGTAGCATGAATAGAATTGTCAATAAAGGTAGCTGCTTTCACACAGTTATCATGGCAATTTTGCTTTTCATATGTTTCTACGATTTCTCCAAGATCAGTTTCATTTTTCCATGTGATTCCTTTTCCACATGGCGAATTTTCCCAAGACAGCCTCGATTTTCCATTACTCCCTTTTTCTGGAGCTGAACTGCTTAATTGAAGCAGGCTGTATGTTGAGTTGAGTTGGGACTTCTCCTGGGTATGCTCTGACACAGACATCTGCTCATCACTCTTGATCCTCTGTGGAACACATACTCTCGCCCAATGGATACTAAAATTAGAGAAAGTAGCATTAAACCTCACAATTATGCATAAAACTTTCCCATTCATAGAACCTTCCGAAACACAAGACACCGACTTATCAAACCTTTGACCTTCCAACCAAGAAATACAACCCAAGACAAGTGCAAAGACTACCTGATCGAACTGACTCAGATGATCCATAAGGAACACAGAAATCAATTGCCTCATAACTCTGTCATAACGATCAGTGAAAGAAAACAGGCATATGCCTAGGCACCATATCTCAATCATAACTCTCAAGACAAGTTCACACCCCCTGATGGTGAACTTGAACACAATACACACGTTCATCAACCGTCTAGTCTTCCAAGAGACTAAATAAAACATGCCGAAAACTTTACAACCTTCACCATCACTTCCCAAGTGATTTACGTCTGATGACAACCAATCATCCAAGAGGTTTAAGGGTCTTAACATCTTGAAGATGAACAGCAGATTACCTGGAAAACGCCCAAGGACAATCTGAAACCCTTCACAATGATTAACACTAGGTAGGATAACCTTATCCTCCAACTTGAATTGCACACCTGGAGCCTCAAACATCTGCTCCCCAGTATGATTTAATCCTTCACCCACAATATGACTCTGAAAATCAACACCACACTTGAGTGGAACATACACTTTTATTACTCGTGCATCAAAATTAACTGGATCTGAATATAGAGGCACTGCTCTAGCATAACTCACCACTTCCTCAGAACTGGATGCACAACCTACTTGAGTAAACTCTCTCTGCTCAACCACAAGGCTTGACAAAGATGTCCCACAGTCCATTACTTCACAAGAAAATGGCTCCTGCAGAATAAAAGTAGATTTCAACATCCTACACACACTCTGACTCAATGTACACAATGAGAAATACTTCCTCCACATAGAATAAGAATCACAACTCCTCAACTTAGATCCAATTGCTGCTTTATCACTCTTAATGATTTTACCAAAATTTCCTCCCATGACTTCTGGAGCTGCTTGGAGTACTGTCTGCTCACAATCAACAATATCACTACCAAGCTGGGTCACATCCTCACAGACAACTGAAGAGGGAGGCTCAATGGGTCTCCATCTACTCAACAGAAGCTGATCCTCTGGCTGCTTTCCCACACTCTCCAAAACTGGATCTACAGTACAGACTGTCTCCTTGCTTCTCTCTGAAATCTTGGGGTCAGTTCTACTCAAAGCACATAAATGAAGGGAATCTGAAGCGAGCGGGCAAGTAACAGGTAGTTTGACCTCCTCCCCTATTATATCACCTTGACTAGGGTGAGGCGGGGCCTCTACAACGGACTTACTCTCGACAACTGATTCTAAACTTGGAGTGAGCGGGAATACTTCTGCCAACCCGACATCTTGTCCTAAACCATTCACTTGGCTGGAATACAGAGTCGTGGCTTTTAAGTTTCTCTCAACTCCTGGCACAACGTTCGTAGTGAGCGGGCAAGACAATGGTACATGGACATCCTTTCCCAATTTATTGGAATAAAGCAGAGTCATAGTATCAGGCTTACTCTCAACAACTAAATCGGCCACACAGGAATCTGGAACAACCACATCCCACTTCTCCACTGAAGGGGTACTGGTTACTGGAACAAATGCTTGAGTAACAACATCAGAACTGACAACTGGATTTATATTAGTACTGACATCAGCACAGGTAGAATGGACAAAACCATCTTCTACAACAGGTTCATTCATAGAACTAACTTCAGCACAGGCAGAATAAACATGGTCTGCAACTGGCTGTTTACACAAACGGGGATCATTCTCACCCACAACATGATTTATGGCCACATCATTACCCAATATAACATCCACACCTGGGATGGGCAACTGTGTACTAACACCCACAGTGCATAAACGTGGTGTAATGGTGGATCTGAAATTAATGTCTATTAGAGGTACAGTTTTACATCCTGCAACACTCTGAAGAACAACAAACTTTCCTGTCTCTCTCTTTTTAACATCAGAAAGAATACTGGATGAAATTATGGTTTGGGAAGCACCTGTATCACGAAGAATAACCACTGGCTTCCACTTTCCATTAATACACAAGACTTCACCTGAAGACATATATGGTGAATACTGTTTCACCCAATTGGGGTTTACAGTTACATGTTTATTAGTAAGTTTATTTTGCACACCTCTGCAATAAATGAGACCAGTTGGTCGTAACTCAGGGTGCAATATAAAACATGAATGAATTCCATGGCCTTTTCTCTTACAATGGGAACAGGACCTTACAGTGGACACACTGGTAGAACCAACTGTAGGTTTAGAAATAACCTTATTATTATTTGACATTCCTGACAATGCAGTAGCAGGGTTAGATTTTGTAAGAGAAGAGCTCATGGGAGTAACTGGAGTACTAGGACTGGATGGATTCTGATAAGGAGTTCGGTGAGCATTATAATTTACTCTACGACTAGACTTAGGTGAAGTGGCCGTAAACGGGGCCTTAGTCAACAACTCATGCTCATCCGCGAGCTTTGACAGCTCATCAATGTCTGTTACATTCTTTTGTTCTGCCATAAAAGTAGACAACTGGTCTGGGAGACATGACAATACTTCTTCCATTATAAGAAGATTCTTTAAAGCATCAAAATCAGTGACTGGAAGTGACTTTAACCATCTGTTGCAAAATTTCGTCTTCTGACGAGTAAAATCTGCTATTGTCTGATCACTTGTCCTCCTTAGATTTCTGAACTTTTGCCTGTGTGCCTCTGGATTTAGTTGATAAGCATTTAAGATGCTTTTCTTTACAAAATCATAATCAAAACTATGAGAGTCAGGTAGGGATGTGAAAACCTCCTGACTACGCCCCTTGAATTGAGACTGCATAATGGCTACCCACTGATCCCTTGGCCAGTTCATACTGATGGCAATTTTATAAAAATGTGCAAAGAAAACCTCAGGATCTTCCTCATTGAACTTGGGCAACTCTATATACTTATTCATCCTGATGGGATTATTATTACTATTTGTTGAAACATTACTAGTATTTCCATGCCCAGCTGCCATACGCTGTGTTTCAAGCCTTAAGTTAGTGTCAGCCATTTGTTGTTGAATCTCTAATTGCCTAGTTTGTTCCTCGGCTTGTTGCTTCTTTGTGGCTTCAAGTTGCAACTCAATTAAACCTCTCTGGTTTTGTGCCGCAATTTCTAAACGCCTAGTCTCCAGCTCCCTTTGCTGAGCTTCAGCCTCTAATATTTGCTGTTGCTGTTGAGCTTCAATCTCTCTTTGACGAGCTTCAGCCTCTAATATTTTCTGTTCTTTTTGAGCTTCAAGCTCTAATTGGCGAGCTTCTAACTCAAGACGCTTTAACGTCATCTGATCACTCGACTCCTCTCTTAACTCCTCTAGAATTTCTTCACCTAAATCCCCATTCTCAACAAAATGCGTCACAATGACTTTCAATATTTGGGCTTTAACCATTCTATTGCTGGCGGTCAATTCCAAATGATTTGCCATTTGTATTAACTCAGTCTTTTTAAGGTTCTGAATCCCTTCAAAGTCTGGGTGAGCCACCAACGCTGCAACTTTCTCCTCCATCGTTACTAACACTTGGCACTTGATTCACAAAAATAATTAACACAATGGCACTGCACTACACTTCACTGTAAAATTGTCACCACACTGAAAATTCGCTTGGCCTCACTGCACAAACAAAATATATAGGATGACTTACCTCAAAATCGTGAAACGTTGTTACTTGACACACAGGAAGGCTTGCTTGGCACATGGAATAGTTCTTAAGAAACACACTGAGACACTTGACACTGGTACCTAGGAAGGCAAGGTTAGATTAGCATAGTTAAGTTAAAAGTGGGACAATATCTCCCGGACAGGCCCCCATAACTCTTTGTTACCTATCGTACGTTACGGCTCGTGATCCTACAGCAGCCAAATTTTAATAAGTCTAGGGATACGACACAACTGCTGTTCTCAATAGCGAATCACCAGTATAACCCCTTAATAGGTAATGAGCACATAATTAACAATCTTCGTTTAGGACTGAAGAATAGATACACAATATGATAGCTATATATTCAAAACAGTATAATATAAAAACACAGATGGTAAAGTTAACTTATAGAATATGATTGTATAGTCATGTCAAAATATATATAATAGTAATTATGGCAATAAATGAATGTAATAGACTTATCTCCCATATGTTACTCTCCTAGTCCTGTATCAGCTACTGAACTCTCACTCTGTCGCCACCCACATTCACACCTCCCGTCTGCCTCATCCCAGGATGAGGGATGGAAACTAAGGACTTTTTAATATTATAAACTAATTGAACAACCACTTGTTCTCAAAACACATAAGAATGTAATTTACATATAATAGTTGCTTACAAAATATATAAGTATAATGACACCTGTTTAATTACAGTATATGAAACATTTTCTAACTAAAATAAAGTGACATCTGGAACTCTCAAACTGAACAGGTCCAGCTTTCCCGTATCAATCAGGTATTAGACTTGTGCAACGGCAACCGCTCTCCTGTCCACTGACGCTGCCAAACCACACGACAATTTACCCAAAACACAATGTGTGTACATATACATGCAATGATAAAATAAAATAATATTTATTTTAAATTTATATACGTATTCTGCTAGGAGTACGTAACACTTGACAAGGTACGGGCTCCATGCTGGGGCCGCATACTCCAGTATTGGTCTTTACTTATATGGTATACAAAGTTCTGAATGACTCATTGCACAGGTTCCTGAAAGCACGGTTCGTGGGGACCCACGCTAGTAGTCATCCGTGTTGGGACTTTCATTTCTCCTGCAGTATGTGTTAAAAGATGGTTACGTTTTCTTCTTATATATTGACGTCTTCGCTTCACGACGACCGCTATTAAAGCGCTAAGAATAAGTTACTTCTGACAAGACTCAAAACAAAATTATAATCAGCTTCTAGCAACCTTTACTAATGGTTAGAACTAAAAACAAATTAGGTTGTACGTTTTATCCATCAATGATCCTAAATTTAACGTTTCCGAAGACTTAAGGGGAGACAGAGCTAAACCTCGAGCCGCCCACTCCGTATACCGTATCAGAGCCACTAACTCCCTCGTCATTGGTTAAGTTGTGTAGCTAAACAACCACAAACTTTAAGATTGATTAGGCCAGAATCCGTTTGGCAAAAAAAAAAATCCATTTCCTGTCAAAGAAGAGAACTATTCCTTCGGATGACTCGCTAATGTGAGCTTATTGTAAAATTGTTACTGTGTGTGTGTGTAACTGGCGTGATGGATTTGTCCACCGTTACCAGGCCTTTTGCACTTCAGTGTATTCGTATGCCCTTACGTGACTGCCAAGGTGAACAGGACCATTAGGCGAAAGGAACCTTGGCCATCCATTTATGGCCTGAATCTAACCAGAGTCCTGATTGAATCTAGAACGAAGCCTACTGTACTAAGAGACCCTTGGCATATAGCAAAGTATTTATGCATGTGCGAGATTAAACCCAAGATTGCCTATATAAGTAATTATTAAAAGGCACCAAACCGGGTAGGCTATGTAGCACTATAAATGTGCAGAATAATCAGAGGGCGCTAAATGTCACCAAGGATGCCAATACGGGAACAAAAACGCATAAAGCGAACGATATATAGGCTGATACTTTTGATAAGTGTTCATGGGACACTTTATCAAGTTGTCATCTTAATAAATTTAAACTAGTTTTGTTTATTACAAACTGCCCTGTCAAGTTGTCAGTAACTACAGGTACCGTCTGTTTTGGATGATGGATTGGTAGAGAAAATATAGAATTTATATAAAATGTAGTGACATTTACATTATTATTTAAATATTTAGTAACGAACTGAAAGTATAGTTTTGCGACTATAGAGATTGAAGGTTTTAGGCGATTGGTGGAGTTAGTCCTGAAGCGTGCATATAGATGCAGAGAAGAGACTTGGCGTTCGAGTATTACCTCTTTTGCAAGTTACTTTTAAGTGTGGAGCAAGTTGTCCTAAACAGATTAGTACACGAGGGAACTATGCCAAATTAGTCGTGTGCTTTACTGTATTGGTAATTATTCAACCTGTCCTCTAGCAGTCAGTCCTCCAACGATCCGAAGTACATTCCATCCACCCGCCAAACCCCTGTTTATGAACGGAAATCTGTTTACACACGACTCCTTTGTTCACAAGTACTTCACTAACTAATTTAGTTTGAACCACAACGCTGTAAATGCTTCACCCTTTTACTACAAATAATCGCCTACAGAACTTAAACATCTAACCAGTGCCTAATTATGCACAAAATACAATTTATATCTGAGAAAAGTTCTGTTTTGAATGAACAGCATGTTAAGATTTATGAATACGTCTGTGGGGGTCAACCGCTGGATGGAATGGACTTGGTCCGAGGACGGGTTGCCTCTAGTTATTGTAGCTTTACATAAAAAATCTCCAATGTCAAAAAATATGACTTACCATAAATCATACCGGCTCGCAACATTAACTGCCTGTTAGGTTGTGTATGTCCATCGGATCTGTGAGGGCAATCAAATTTATCTTGTGTCCGCGGCAATTTTATGCCGGGCTGTTGTATAGGTCAGTGGAAATAGTAGTGGACAAACACTCATTTAAAACTAAAAAGATTTAAGTTTAAATTTTAATAGAACAAAGATTATACCTATAATACTAGTTTAAAAAAAACAAATCTTGTGCGGGAGGAGTCAGAGCCCAAGTGGAGGTTTACAAGTATGGTAGTCGAGACACGTGTCGAAGCAGCACTTTTGGTTCGTCGGACAGTGGCCATCATGCGGGCACATCTGTGGCAGAGTAGTAGAGTTATTAGCTATCAAAGCATATTAATAGCATTTGCAATTAGTGAAATACATTTAACATAACTAGTACAATTTGTGCCATAAAGTGTGAGCATTCGCTAAAGCTCTAAGTTAAATGGTCTCACCTTGGTTCGAGCAGCAGGACGCTTCGAGCAACGTTTCAGAGGAGCTTCACACACGCCACGATGTTCTGTGGAAGGAACACTATAGTAGCAAACGTGTCAATTAGTAGAGCATTTTAACTAGCGAGGAAGTTACTAACTTTCTTCCTTCAAGTATGGAACTTGATCTGGGCCACAGCAGTATGTCGAGCCTCTGTGGCGCCCTTCAGGTTTGACGCAGTAAGTGTGGCAGTCCCTGGTGTCGTCGTGAGGGCGGGCCAGCGACGCCGCCACCACCATAGTCACCACTACAATACACAGCTAACAGGAGGAAACCATCCTTAAGATCATTCATTGTGTAGGGGATGGGGGGGAAAGAACGCGATAAACAATGATTTAAGAATTACAATGGAACAATACAAATACACTTAAAAATTTCGAAAAGTCAGCCTATTCTCTTAAGGTTTCACAACGTCAAGAAACTTTCGTACTAATGTGCCCTCATCCTAACCTACCAGAGAACCCAAAACAGAAAAAGGTAGTGTCAATTTTGCAAGCCGGAACCATTTTCTAGGAATTAATTTTTTTTGGCCTTGGGTACAGTACGTCAAAATACGACGTTCTATTAAGAAGACAGGTTGTAAGAACCTAGCATCTTCCGGGCTCTAGGCAGAGAAGAGTCCCTCTGAATTTACTTGAACTTAAAAATAATAAAATTTGAGAAATTATCTAAAGTTAAACGTTAATGAATTAATTCCACAGAAGAGGAAAATCCTGACGCAGCCTATAAATTCGATTAGTATATTTAGTGACAAGTACCTCTGAAGCACCAAAAGGATTCGAGATTATTATGTAACGATAATTCTACAGCTGCAAGAATGACCCAAAGTTTAAATACAGATTAAGATACTTTATTTCGTACAATAAATATTAAGAAGTGAAAATAAAATTGTAGTCCCAAACGCATACTAATAAACGTTAAAATTATAGCGCAGCAAGTCTCTCCAATAATCATTCTTACACTAACCATTATGCTCAGAGTAACGAGTTACCGTGATAACGAGGCCCTGAGGCAAGTGTGGGTGTTCGGCCTCCCGGAACCTTATATATAGCAGTCTCCCCCCACCCCCCTACCCTCCATGAAGCCTATCATGGCGTCTGGAACGTCATTGTTAAAACGTTCTTTGGGTTGTAGTATGGTTTGGGAATGAGACTTGGCAACATCAGGAGGGATATTAAGGCCTGTTAATCTTGGGAGGGTTATCAAGGTCTGTCAACCTACAGGAGGGTTATCAAGACCTGTCAACCTAGGAAGGGTTATCAAGGCCAATCAAACTGGAGAGTTATGGAGGTCGTGACAGGAGCTTCTTGCTCAACAAGCAACTTTACTTTAGCCCCAGACTAAAGTAAACTTTGTGTGCAAATACACAGAGAAGCAGAATAAAACCTTGTGGTGAATATATCCCTGGCAATACACCTTTATCTGCATCAAACAATATCACACAAACTTTGTGGGAACGCGACATGCTCTGACGAACTGGACCAAAGGAAACGACCCACTGGACCATACTGTAATTTTCAAGTGAACACGCTCAACCAGTATGACACTTAAACACTATCAAAAACTTTTAAATAAAACTGTTACCCAATGTTTGGATCAGTCAATTTGTTACTCTAATCGTGGTCATCACTAGGCCACCGACTAACCTTCCATATGATGCAGCACACAACAGTCGCCTGGGTCCAAAGTCCATGTTTATTATTAGGTGAACAGAGGCATCGGGATGCAAGGAAACGGTCACAAACGTTTCGACCTACCAGGGGTCAATGTATTGTGAACCGAGTTCTACAGTGACCATTAAATAGTTAGGCTAGCGTAGAAAAATAGTCTCTTAATGGCAAGAGGCCAGAACGTGATTAAACTAGCCGGGATAGTGAGAGTTTTGTTCCCTGGTACAAGCTGGCAACGGAATTATGTAATTCTTTTCATTCTTTAAGCTGTGAAAAAAATGGAAAATTAAAATGAACATTAGTCTTAAAAGTCAACACTGAGGAGTACCCAGTAAACAGATGTTGCTGCTCTAATGTTATTAACATCTTTATTGACAAAATTTAATTACAATTTTGCCTAATCTGAGGTTTTTAATGAAGTCTTATTAAAGTGAGGATAATGCTGGCATTCGCTGTCACACAGGGACAGAGGGTCATTCACAAGACAATAGGTCTGAACTGTAGGCTGAAGCACATAGATATCATGGTCACAATCAATGTTTTAATGTACTAATATGTAAAAAACAACTTTCCATTGTGCACTGCCATACAAGGACAGGGGTGGGTTCATAAGAGATGCAGCTTAAAAAAAATTAAAATAAAATTTTTCTTCATTTTTTAAAACTGACAAGCAAAATTTGGACAAATCGTTATGATGTATGTATATACACGTAGTCGTTGTTATGTATTCTTGACACGTGAGTTGGGGCTCCGTCTCCACTGTTGAATGACTTCCAGTGTTTGGCTGTATGTGAGGGTTTAATGTATTAGGCTATTTTATTTGGCCCGTGAGTTGCCATCCTTGTCCTGCTCTTGGGCGGTGTCCAACGTTGCCATAAGTATTGCCATGAATTTGTCTTTGCCATTGTGCTGTCTTGTTCCCCTTTGTTTATGGGGCCTTAAGTGTGCGTGTGATTCTGTTGCGAGGTTTGGAGGTGTCTCCCTTTCAGGCTAGTTGCGACTGAGCCGTATATGTGTTGTATGTAAAAAAAATTACCTACTTAAAATTATGTTAGATTAAGGATCTGCCCTAAACGCTGTGCGTGTTAGTGGCTTTACAAGAATGTAAAAACATCAATTCTATGTACTCTTGTAAACCCAATGTACCTTCTTGTATATGTATAAATAAGTTAAATAATTAATAAGTATGCTTTGTGCAGCTCTGACCTTGGGATGTATGTGTGTGTGCGTGTGCGTGTGCGTGTGCGTGCCTCTTTCCTCTGGCCGTGGTCAGTTGTATTGTTATGTTTTCATTGCATGGATGAAAACATAAATCCAACTTATTTTGTAGGATTTTCCTTGTTGGGACTTATTACGTTTTGGGTTCTTCCCTGTTTTGTTATTATTTTACCCTGATTTAGGTAGGTGGCAACGGCCTGGATTAGGTTCGTTTGGGTTAGGTGAGGCTGATTTTAAAATATGTCAACGAGCAATCTTGTGTGCAGTGGACTTCGTAACAAGGCAGACAAGCTTTTCCTTCTTATATATGCTCATATACTGAGCAAATGGGTAATCTGTGAAGAGCGTATATAAAGGGTATATGACACAAACTTTCATCGGCGGTTGGTCGTTTAGCTCAGACCGTCATGTGACCAAAAAAATGCTGGGAAGACGGGACACCACGAGTGTAGTTCCTGATCCTGTAGCTACACTTAGGTCATTATGAGTAGTGCGGGTTCCCACCGCCAGGTAGTTATGACGTCACAGACAAGGGCTTATATAAGGTGGTAAGGCGGACTAGTTTTCATTCACCCTCTGACTTCTCATTTAGTAGTTTCTCCAGGTTTATTATTCATAATGGTAAGTTGTATAATACATGGATTTTACTTGGTTGTTTAAATAATTCTTGTGGTTGACGAATAGACATAATTTTCTGAAGGATCTTTGGTTTAACTAAATATTATATTATAGTAGTTGAGGTTTAATGAAGTTTTACATAAATCGATTACTTAAATTTTTACTGGTAAACATGAGTAGTTTACTTCGTAGCTAGATACAAAAGTTATGCTTAAATTTAAATTAACTCTCCACTATCGGTTTTTGTTTTAAATTGTAAACACGCCTACTAAAAACAAACACTACAGCGGTCCAGCGTAAAAAAAAAAAAAAACTCTCCTACGTGAAGTTTGTTTCTCGCAACGAAACTTATTTGCATCTTGTCTCGAATAGGTTCAAACCTTGTACTTGAAAATGGAGGCAGGTCGCGGAACGGCTTGTTAAGTTTTCTCTTAAGTAACATCTTTACTTTAAACTTTCCTTTTAAACGAACTTTATACCGTTCATGCATAACTGTCTAATTGCACTTTAAAGCCTACACTAAAACTAGGCCTAGTTAATATAATTAGCGTGCCTTGTCACTTAAAATCTGCTTTAGTCTTTACCACTAAATCTTAACAATAAAATTGGCGTTTGACAACTGTTACTTTTACTTGTTATTAAGTCTTCAAAACGCTTAGTTTAATGGTCTTGAATCTAGCTACAAAAGTATGGGAATTGAAACTAAATTTCAAGGAAGTTGAGTCAGGGACTGTGGCGTGTTAAAACTTGCCACGCTGTTTAAACACGGAAAAATGCTTTTACGTGTATCGGTGCAAGAAATATTTAGTTCTTAAAGGTAGAACATTTCTACACGCTTCCCATTCTCTCTGGACTTTAAAATTCTCAAGGAACATTTTTATAGACGCTACTATTGGTTCTTAATAGTCTTAAAAAAAAAAAAAAAAAAAAAAAAAAACCTATAGCTGCAAATATTACAGCCACTACCAGCTTCTGGCTGCACTGCGTAGGGTGGAAAATCCTTAACTTAATTTTCCTGGCACTCTGCCGGCTCCTACGGGTCTTGTCCGTAATTCAAATTTATTTACTTTGGTCCATACAGTCTTTGGGTAATACTTTCCACCTTCGTCCCTTAGTTTTATAACTACTTCTATACTAACTGCATAGTGGGACGGCTCGACGATGTACACAAACTACTTCATACATAAACGTCCATAGCCACTTTCAGTAGCTTGGGGAAAAGTGTACTGCATCGCGAAAAGTTAGTCTCTTGTAATATACATTACCGTTTAAGATTATCTTTATTTAACAGATGAAGTTGTTGCTGTCGATTATCTTGGTGGCGTCTGTGCTCGGTGGTCCTCCTGAGGACCTGGAGGAAACTCTAGAAGAATTCCACGACTCTCTCGATGATTCTATGGATGAGCTAGAGACGGTAGAGGGCGGACGTATAGCAAGACAAGCCTGTGCACACCGCTGTAGACGACCTGTAGGACCCCGCAGGGGACTAGTGTACTGCTGCAGCCCGCCATCACGACCATTTATCGCATCCTTGAGTAAGCATTGACTTTGACTACTGGCGAGAGAAAATACGTGGGTATATTTGGGTAGTAAAATGGTTTTCTTCCTCCATCAGCTCACGCAGGAGCGTGTCCCCGCGTCAGAGCGTGCAGTCCTCGCCACCGACCTGTTGGACTACCAGTGGTATGGTTTAGGCTTCATGGCTTAGGCTTCATAGTAGACTTTTAGTAAAGTGAGCAGAAAAGTACTTTATGTTTATATTGTATTAATGTTCCTGGTATGTCCACAGGTCTGTCCTCATGATGGTTACTGTCCTCGAACCCACAAATGTTGCTTCGACGCGTGTTTAGACTACCACACTTGCCTACCAGCTATTTAAATCTACGCCTGTCTGCCGCATGTCATATTTTTGTTAGCTTAACAATAAATTTAAATTGAATTAGTTTTTTTAATTAACGCCTGAAAATTGGTTCCTACCTTGAAGATGCTCATTTCTCTTAACCTAAGTGGGTGTTACTAGAGAGCTGCCTCACAAAATGGGAGGATGGGGAAGTTGCCACGACTTTTGTGACATCAATGCTAAACTATGTTCCTACTCGCCTAACAGGAAATTTGAGGGTGGGGTTAACTGGGTATCGGATTACCCCAATGTTTCCACAGAAGGCTAGTGGGTAGGCACATGACTTCTGCTGAAAAGCTCTGCCTGCTAGAGTCTGACTTGTTCTCGTATTCGCTAGTGGGGGGGGGGGGGGGGGGAGAGTAAATATGTAAAGCCAGTCAATATCGCATTAAAACTGTAATGTTGAAATGGTTCTGCGAAAGTTTAACTTGAAATGTGACGTTCGCCGAAACATCTGAAGAGATGAGCCGCTACACGCTTAAGGCAGCCCGTCCTCTAAAGACTGAAAAGAGATTCCATGTGCCCGCCAAACTCCTGTTCATGAATGGAAAAACGGTTTAAAAGACTATAGATTTCGTTCGAACCCTTCAGGCAAAAGTGCTTTACCGCCAAATTTCGTTCGAACCACAATGCTGTAAATGCTTCACCCACGTACTACAAATCTTGAGGTTATCTTGATTTCGAGGCTCTCGGTGACCCCCCGCGGCCCGGTCCTCGACCAGGCCTCAACCCCCATGAAGCAGCCCGTGACAGCTGACTAACGCCCAGGTACCCATTTTACTGCTAGGTAACAAGGGCACAGGGTGGAAAAACTCCGCCCATTGTTTCTCGCCGGCGCCTGGGATCGAACCCAGGATCAGACCAGCGTGCTGTCCGATCGGCCGACCAGCTCCCTGTTTAGGTCATGTGTTTGCATGAGTTGTGTGGCCCTTCAAGCTGTCTGTGTGTTTAGGTACATAATGTACTTTTCATGTGCCCGATATTGGATTGTTTTTGGACTTGTGTTCTTTTCTGTACTTTTTGCTTTCTTACCATTTGTCTTTATATTGTGTCCTGTCCATGGCTCGAGGTTGTTATTTAGTTTTATCCTTCATGTCTATTTCATAGTACACGTCTAATACCTGTGATTAAATCAGCCGCACTACGCTCCCCTATGTTGCCAAACTATACGACAATTTCATGTCGGTGTCAATATTACGAAAAAAATATAATGACTTTTTATATTTAGTTAATTTATGTAAATATCCATTAAATAGGGATAAGTAACATAAGCCTCCCATATCAGCATGACGTCATCAGGCATCTGTCTACCAGCATTATTATTCGCTTAAACGCAGAGTTCCTTTAAACTTATCAATGACAAAAACCTCACGAAGGTAATGCTGAGGTTGGGCTCCAAACCTGCCCGAAAAGATCTCTTCTGTGCGTATATAAATGTGTAGATATATAACTAAGTTTAAATCTCTGGAGTAAGCACAACTCGGAGCTCCACAACACAGGTGAACCTTCTAAATATCCTTGTCGCAAGACCTTGGAGGTATGCACAGTGATTCGCTTGTGGAGCCTAACAAAACGGCTTCAATGCAAAACGTGCTCTGGCAATATTTACTGGAACAGTGTAGTGTTTGAGTTCTGAAATCGTGACTGCTTCCTATATAACGTCCGTGGGCGCAGTCTTCTACAGTAACACTATGGAAGTTACCGTAAAATTTGCAACAAAGATCTCAATGTAAACATCAGGACATTTTGTTGTTGCAGGTAAGGAAGAGGGTTGGAAATAGTGCAGATCCTGCACTTAATTTAGCTGCATAAATACCTTTTTTAAGAAATTCCTGGGGGAGTAACTAGTAAATGGATAATTTAAAGTGAAGGATATTTCTAGTATCAAAAGCTAGTCTGGTGACCTTGCCTGCTTTTGTAATCGCCTAGTTGTGCTGGGGAGGGGGGGGGCGCCCATTGCAAGCTCTGGACCTAGATTCAGGAAGCTCTGTGTATTTCTTCGTAAGTGGGTTTGCTACGAAGGTTCCTAAGTGCGCCCTAAGAAGATGCTTAGGTGCGATTCAATAAGGTATTTTCTTAGGAAGAAAATTGTTGGTTCACCTGCGTGCCGATAGAGGTCACTACAGTGTTTCGTTTGGCCAATCAGAGAGCAGCAACATTCTTCATATTGAAGATTTAGCGCTGGCTTATCGGAGCTCTACTGCCGCCTATTTACGTCGAATTTTCTTATAAAATTAGTATATTTCGAAGTAAAACAATGTTTTTTCAACTTCTACAGCCAGCACCGACATTGTAGTAAACAAATATGTTACATTTGTTGTTTACCTACGTAATTCTAAGAGATACTGTGTAGCTGTCCTTGTTGCTCGGAAGATGCGCTGACAATTATTGTATATATTTACTGAATTTACCCAAGGGCCACTAACTATCTAGTGGCCTCGAAGAGGACAGAAAGCCGGCGGCTTGTTAAAGGGCCCGCCAATTGTCTTAATGATATTTTTTAGCTGGAATTTGGCATTTAGGGCTTCAGCGGGTAGGCGGTTCCATGGGTTTATAGCCCTCTTGGTGGAAAAAAAACATCTGTTTTCAGTCCTACTTGAGAGAACATACTCTCTAACACTATATCTGTGATTGTCCTGTTATCAGTGACTTCATACCAAATGGTATGAGGTATTTTGAGCTCTGTAATTACTTCATACACTCAGGAATATTGGAAGATATTCTTGTGCTGCACCCAGATTTTGCCAGTGGAGGCTAATAGATCAGCATTAAGTATTTTGTTCTCTCCTAATTCCATGTATGACTGGCCATCCTGTGAGGTGAGGATGTTGGGTGAGCTGGTAGCTGGTTTTTGATCTACACTGTGTGGTCCTTTATACAGAATAGGAAAGCAGCACATTGCTGTGTATACCTAAACATGTTTAAAAATACATTGTTTGAGAGGAGTTTTGTAGAAACTGGTAAGAGTAATTATAATATAATGTTTCCATGATTCAGTGCTTACCTCTTGTGAAAATTGCTTAGAGTTGTTTAGTCAGAGTTGATTTGTTTTTGTATTGAGGCTGGTATTTTCTAAATTGATTCCATGTACAGTATGTCTAACCATCCTGTGAGATGGGAGTATTAGATAAACTTATAGCTAGTTTCTTATCTACACTGTGTAATATTCCATATAGAATAGGGTAGCAGCACATTGCTGTGTATACCTAATCTTCTTAATAAAAAAAATCAGTAATAAAGATTTTAAATTATAGTTTGTATTATTACAAATACAGTACTGTATTATCCTTATTAAATCATGTTGACCATGGATCATTAAGATCTCATGTTGATATGTAATACAAGTCATATTTCTTTTGAACTGCTAATCCATGCTAATCATTCATTAAATTGTGCATTATGTCTCAATTTTTCACTTCCTTGGATATACTGTACAGTACAAAAAGATAGGATAAAAATAAACCAGTAATATTTCTTTTATTATATTTTTCATTTAAATAACTGCATCAATATTTTTACAGCTGACAGGATTTGTTTTACCATACAGGTGCATTATTTGTTAAAAAAAAAATTGGTTTATTGTTACACACAATGGTGCTACATAGCCTTCCCAGCTTGGTGCCTTCTTTTAATACTTACTGATTAAAAAATAAATAATAAATACATTTTATTCAGGAAAAGTACATACAGTTGATTTACAAACATAATGTTGGATTTATAGACAGAGCTAGTACATACAATACCTAAAGCCACTAATACTCATAGCATTTCGGGCAAGGTGTGGGGGAAAAAACACAGACTAAAACTTAGTAATCGGGATTAGGTATAAATTGTGTTGAAAGAAGGAATAAAAAATACAAAAAGGGGGGTTAGCATAGCATAACTCAGCAATTGCACATGTTGGTGAACAGCGTTGTTTAAAAAATAGCAAGATATGGGTTGACATTTAGGAGGTAAGTTAGGTTACATGGAGTTAATTAGGCAGTACTTGGTTTAACTCTTAAACTGGTTGAGAGAGGTACAGCCTTTGACATGATTCGGGAGGTCATTCCACATTCTGGGTCCCTTGATTTGTAGAGCACTTCTAGTTTGGTTACACACAGCCAAATTGAGTAACAGGAAGAGGTCTTGGACACAAATTTGTTCCATGCTAAATGTAGAGGAATCAGCTGAGTATTCCTCAAATAAAATAAGTTTCCTCAGCTTATAAGGTAAATAAAATAAGCATTTCTCAAATAAGTAGCTGCCTCACCTCACTGCCTTACTGCTACATAGCCTTTCCGGCATGGTGCCTTCTTTTGATAATTACTTGTTCCACACCCAAATTGTATAACAGGAAGAGGTTTTGGACCCCTACTTCCCTCTCTCTTTTTTAATAATCTACAGTATATAGTCATAATTATAGCTTTAAGTATTCAATGAATAAAGTTTGTGACATTTTTACCCTTCTCCTTACCTAACATCATTTGTGCAGCATATTTTTATTTTATGTCTCACCCAGATTTAATTTCAAAATAAAACCAAACTAAATAAATTAGAAATGGGTATGTATAGCTAAGGTACACCCTTACTACTAGGTGAACAGGGGCATTTGGTGATAATAAATGATCCCATCAGGCAGGGCTCATCACCTTCTCTCATATTTCATGTTCACCAGTGTTTATTTACTTAATAACTACTGGTATAATATCTTGCTATTATAAAACTAATTCTACTATCATCAAACACATATTTACTTCAAGTTTCAAGCAGAGAATGCATATATAACTAACACGAAGGATTCCTCTTCACTAGATTCACCAGCTATAATATTTTGGTCATGTTCCAATATCATAAATCGATCCCAGTGTTATGTAGTAGAGAAAAAATGACTTATATCCAGTTTACGTAAAGCTACGAGTGGTCGAAACCACACTTAAATCCCAAAATGAACTTACGAAGATTTTTCCACTTAGTGTTTTTCCACTTTGAATACGGACGTAGCCGCCACGAAGGCGCTAAGAAGGAATTCGTTCTTAGCTAAGAGGAAAAACCTTCGTAAGTACCTTCCTGAATCCGGCCCCTGGCTCTTTGATACGCCTTTAGACTGTAAATAAACTATTGGACAGATTATAGCCTATTGGGCTCTAGAAAATGTACATTTAAAACTGTGTAGTCTGTCTTCGTCACTATCTAATGCATTCCATTTAACCTACCAACCCTGAAAAAATTTAAATGGTTGTGGCTCGTTTGGGTACAGTTTCCACCTGTCCTCTTTGCTAGTGTTCCACCCATGCTAAATAGTTTGTCCACCCTCTCAATTCCACTGATAATTTTGTAGGCGTTTATCATGCGCTGTGCTTCGTATCGGTCATGTGAGGCTAACTCTGTTCTCATGGCTTGAGGGAACTACTGAATGTGTGTTGTCGGTTAACTAACTCATATAATTAGTCAACTACAAAAATAAGTATTTTGGATATCTGATGTGATTCATCTGAGATGGTAAATTAGAAATCTAACAATTTGAGTTTTAAATTTGTGTACTTAGTTTCCCAAGTTTTGAGTATGTTACGAAAGTGTTGGGTAATGCTCATGCTGGGGATTTTTTTTATGTAAGTAAATGGTAATAAAGTAAATTAACTGCTCAACTGTAAGTTGCATAATGTGGATAACGGTAATTAACCTCTGCTGGAAACTAGCCTAATTACATCAACGGTTACAAGAAGCAAAATAACTTTACACGTTATAATGCTTTAACAAGTAAATTAACTTAACTCGTGATAATATAACTGATAATTAATGACTACAATAAAGGATAAGTTAACAGTATTTGCCGACCGCTGGTAACGAGCCTAATTACTGTAATGAATGATAAGTTTGAGGACGTGATGGGTAAAATGCACAACGGGAATAATCAAGATATGAACGTTCTAGTCTTGGGTAGTATAAAAGTAATTTATTATAAGCGTTTAAATATAATTTACAAGCGTTATAATTGGGTAATATGGTCATAATACAAATGCCAACCGAGACAATTACATAACCCTATAGTCGGTGCTCTATTTTATAATGGTAAGTGATGCAGTAGGCTGCAGCTTCCAATGCTTAACATGAGCCCTTAAATCTCTCTGCAACAAACCTGAACAGAACATTACTGCTGCGGGTGTGGAGGGAGATGCGTGTGTGTGTCCCCCCACCGTATACATTTATGTAAGTGAATTCTTAATGGATAAATGATAGAGCAACATGTATACATTTTAATTATTAATTCTATATGCAGTACATGAATATACCAGTTTCCCACCAGAAAATAATGCATTTTGGCAGCCGATTGGCCTGCCTAAATGCAGGAAGGTGCTGCCTTAAACTTGTTCATTTATTACTAATATTTGTTGTCAGTAACAGAGGTTCTGTTGTCTTAACCTTCACTCGACCCCAATGACTTCTGTGACTACGGAGAAGGGGAGGGTGTGAGATAATCTTGGAATGATTAATGGGAAAAGTTTGTTTGAGGAGGGAGGGGCTTGTGTCGCCATATATAACCAGGAGCGCTCAGCTTCCATACACCAGTCGCCTCACAACCTCGTTGTTTTCAGATCTTGTTCGCTTCAATGATGGTAAGTAAAGTGATTTGTCTTGTTTAGTGCTTCACTGTATTGCTTGTTGTGGTTCAGCAGCGCATATAGAAGTGTTCATTGCTTCAGTATAAGTTTACTTCTGAGCATAGCATTAAGTATACTTGTTGGTTGGTAAATAAGATTGTAATGACCTTAATAACCCATCAAAAACTGATATGCCTAAAGTTAAACACGAAGCCTATGTTTAGTTTACATTATGTACAATTTTTTCTTTTTCAAGTTTCGTCTGCTGGTGTTGACGGCTCTGGTGTGTGTGGTGATTGGCATACCTCAAGGATTTGGAGGTATGTATAAACTACCACATTTTAAAGCAATTACCATCTTAACAACAACTTTAACAATTGATTTCAACCAATGCCTTCTATATCCACAGGGCATCTTGGTTCCTGCCCATATGATGGCCGGTTCTGTCCTGCCAACCCTAAACCACCCCAGGTACAGTCTTTCTTCAACTCCACTAGTTTTAAGCCTTTAATTTTATAACCCAGAAATCCTGAGATTTGAAACGTAAATTCTAGAATGTTTATAACATTCTCTTCTAACATTTCAGGGTCGCCTGTGTCAACGTGACAGAGACTGTGGCAGTAGCGAGCGTTGTTGCAAGGATTTCTGTCACCCTCTCAGTTCTTGCAAGCGGGTAATGTCAAGTCCTGGTTTCGGCTAATTAATAACATGCCTTCAACAAGTTTTAGGGAGGGGGGTAGAAATAGCCTAAGCTACTCTATCCCTTTGAGATGTATTTCTTTCTTGTCTCAATAAACATAATTGAACTTCAACAAGTGTATAGCATGTATTATTAAAGCAGGTCATCAAATATTTGTATCCATAACCTTTACTCTTAAAATGACTCTAAATCGGCTTTCACTAGTGTTTCTCAGCCTGTAAATTGGTCCGGCGAGCACTTGATGCTCAAGACTGTGAAGTGCTCCTCACTGGAGCTAGAACTGGAACGGACTATCAAATGAGCAGTAAAATACTAACAAACTATGAAACGAAGAGATGGTAGCTAAACATTTGTAATAACTTATCACAATAATGGTTAAGCAGGATTACATTAAGGGATTCGGCCGCCAGAGGTCGCCGTTTGAGGGTGTGGTGTACGCCTCTCTCAGTGCTGCCCCAACTGTTGTGGTGTCGGGCCGGGGGGCGCAGTCCTCTGGCTGTTTTGCGTCTGCGCCATGGGGACCCTCCTTCCCCCTATTCGTTGTATGGAGACTATAGGCCTGGAGTTATCTGGCCGAGCGACGTATCTTGCGATGGAAACAATTCTGTTGGATATGCTCTGCGTTCGAGGGTCTGATGTATTTGGTATGCAGCTGCTAACGACCCACCGATCACTTGTCGAGTTCCACTCCCAGGCTGTCTATCGTGATATCGTGGACCAGTATGATGGGCGTTTGTTTACCTTCCAGGTTGACGGTGGTATCGTCACTGTCTCGGACCGCTGCTGCGCCTTCACGTATGTGGCACTGCATGGGGTCCCGTTTCAATTTACTGAAGTAATTATCAAAAGAAGGCACCAAACCGGGAAGGCTATGTAGCATCATCAAATGTTCGGAATTATCAGAGGGCTCTAAATATCACCAAAGATGCCGATACGAGAACAGAAACGCATAAGGCGAATGATATCAAAAGTATCCCGATTCACCAAGAATTCTATCGCGGGACAAACGACCGCGGGGGACGGTCGGAAAGCAAGAGACACGCTCGTCTTAGAAGTCAGGACATTCAACAAGAATATGCACGACTGTAAGAGGGACAACGCAATTTGGACAATAAGGAGCAGGGCGGCGCTCCATTAAGTGACTGGGAGTTAAGCGAGTATGGCCAATAAGCAACCTCGTCAGAGCCGTTTCCCATCGCCGGTTACGGTGGTGGTAGGACGGCCATGAGGACACACTACCTTTAAGAGTATGCAGTTTGTTACCAGTAACAGAAGACCAACAACCCTGCCAACGGGCGAGGATGGAGGAATGAATAGCTGGGTAAAAGTCAGAATAAGGAATACCTTTACGGGAGATGGAACAAGAACAGACAGCTTCCCTAGCGGCAGCATCCACACGCTCATTTAAAGACACGCCAATATTGCTGGGAACCCAGAAAAACTCAATAAATTTCCAATAAATTTAAATTTATTGGAAATAAGAAACAGCCAATGCTGAATCTCGACGTCAACTGGATGGACCGGATTAAAGAACCCGAGAGCCATGACGGCACTACGAGAGTCGACAACAACTACAAAGGAAGATTGACAACGAGAAAGCAGGAGACAAAGAGCATAGAGAATAGCATAAAGTTCAGTTGTGAAGATGCTAGTCTCCGGAGATAGGCGACACATATAAGTGCTGTCAGGAAAAAACAACAGCCCACACCGTCCGCAGACTTAGACCCATCGGTGAAGATGGAAACGGAGTGGGAGTGCGAAGAAAAGTGCTCAAGAAAAAGGCGTTTCAGAACCGTAGGAGGGGTGGTGGGGTTTTACCTCGCCGGTGGCGGGGTAAAAGATTTGGTGATGTGGGTTAAGGCTGTACAAAACTTCGGAATGGGGACTCTCCACGGAGGCAAGGAAGGAACACCACGAGGAGAAATATTAGAAACACCAACTGAAAGAATCCTGTAGCGAGATAACCAGACAGAAACCAGATCATGGTTTCGTTGTCGCCTTGAGGGGCATCAAGCGGCGGCCTGTACTAGAGTAGCGGCTGCACCTGTGAACTTGTTTAGGAAGGAGGATTTCCACCATTGGCGGCGCATGACCTGCTGCCTTGTGATGGTGTGGGTGGGGAGGCTTCCCTACTGTCTGCTGACCCGATGGTGTTACCAGGTTCCTCGGCTTGTGTGCCCGTGAGTACGGGTGGTGGTGTGCATGATGGGGTGGTTGTGTGTGGGTTCTCCCACAGTTGGCCTCTTCGCTTCAGCAGGCTTCATCGCATCTACTAGATTCTTCTCCTCTGCAGAAAAGTGCATCTCCGCACACTCCCTCGCCTGTGCTGGCACCTTTTCTTCCGCCAGCTCCACATGCCCTGTCTCGGGTTCCGGTGTCCCCTGTGGAATGTGGCCTCATGCCCCATGTCGTCGAGATTGATGTCCTGCCGGGTCGTGCTTGCCTCGCTGTAGAGCAGGCTGCTGACTGTTCTTCGGTGCCTCTTGCTGGAGGCGACAGCTCCGACGACTAACTACCAGTCTCCAAGCATTCTTGGACGAATAGGAGTGTGTCGCCGCCTCGTGAGTGGGCTGCGGAATGTGTTGATGAGGACTCTGAGGGCTCTTCCTCTGTGGAGTGCGAGGTTGATATGCAAGGTGCTGATGTGGCTCCGGCGGGTGGCTTCCGTGCCCCCTGTTTCGTCGGTGGAGATCTTGCCGCCTCTCCAGCCTCCACCTTCGTCCTCGGTGTCCTCTGCTCGGGGGCGTCCGCCTCCGCCCGGGTTTCCGCCTGATATAGTGGTTCCGGATTTCATGAGGCACCCGCGGTGTCGTGGGGATGTCTGCCCTACCAGGCGGGAGTGGATGATTTGCGATGCCTGTGTTAAGATGTATCCGATGATAGATTACCCCTCACAAGTATGGGTGTTTTGATTATTAGTGTTTTGTTCCTGTTGCACCTGTTTCCTATGTGTTGTGGTGTTTGTGTATGTGTGTGTGTATAGTTGTGGAGTGGGTGGTTGCATGTGTGTGGTTCAGGTTTGTGTCCCCGGTTCCTGCACGTTCCGGTTATGTGTTTGCATGCGTGGAGTTGTGTGACCCTTCTGGCTGTGTGTGTCTGATTTGTTTTTCCCGGTCTGTGTGTGTTTGTGTGTTTAGGTATATAATGTACTTTTCAAGTGCCCGATATTGGATTGTTTTTGGACTTGTTTGTGTTCTTTTCTGTACTTTTTGCTTTCTTCCCATTTGTCTTTATATTCTGTGTCCTGTCCATGGCTCGAGGCTATGTGTTATTTAGTTTTATCCTTCATGTCTATTTCATAGCACACGTCTAATACCTGTGATTAAATCAGCCGCACTACGCTCCCCTATGTTGCCAAACTATACGACAATTTCATGTCGGTGTCAATATTACGAAAAAAATATAATAAATTTTTATATTGAGTTAATTTATGTAAATATCCATTAAATAGGGATAAGTAACATAAGCCTCCCATATCAGCATGACGTCATCAGGCATCTGTCTACCAGCATTATTATTCGCTTAAACGCAGAATTCCTTTAAACTTATCAATGACAAAAACCTCACGCAGGTAATGCTGAGGTTGGGCTCCAAACCTGCCCGAAAAGATCACTCTTCTGTGCGTATATAAATGTGTAGATATATAACCAAGTTTAAATCTCTGGCGTAAGCACAACTCGGAGCTCCACAACGCAGGTGAACCTTCTAAATATCCTTGGCGCAAGACCTTGGAGGTATGCGCAGTGACTCGCCTGTGGAGCCTAACAAAACATGGGTTCAATGCAAAACGTGCTCTGGCAATATTTACTAGACCAGTGAAGTGTTTGAGTTCTGAAATCGTGACTACTTCCTATATTACGTCCGTGGGCGCAGTCTTCTACAGTAACACTATGGAAGTTACCGTAAAATTTGCAACAAAGATCTCAATGTAAACATCAGGACATTTTGTTGTTGCAGGTAAGGAAGAGGGTTGGAAATACTGCAGATCCTGCACTTAATTTAGCTGCATAAATACCTTTTTTAAGAAATTCCTGGGGGAGTAACTAGTAAATGGATAATTTAAAGTGAAGGATATTTCTAGTATCAAAAGCTAGTCTGGTGACCTTGCCTGCTTTTGTAATCACCTAGTTGTGCTTGGGGGGGGGCGCCCATTGCAAGCTCTGGCTCTTTGATACGCCTCTGGACTGTAAATAAACTATTTGACAGATTATAGCCTATTGGGCTCTAGAAAATATACATTTAAAACTGTGTAGTCTGCTTTCACGTCACTATCTAATGCATTCCATTTAACCTACCGACCCTGACAAAATTTAATGGCTGTGGCTCGTTTGGGTACAGTTTCCACCTGTCCCCTTTGCTAGTGTTCCACCCATGCTAAATAGTTTGTCCACCCTCTCAATTCCACTGATAATTTTGTAGATTATCACGTGCTGTGCTTCGTATCGGTCATGCGAGGCTAACTCTGTTCTCCATGGCTTGAGGGAACTACTGAATGTGTGCTGTCAGCGATGAGTCACAATAACGTGGCTGAAGTATGTTGACCAGATCACACACTAGAAGGTGAAGGGACGACGACGTTTCGGTCCGTCCTGGACCATTCTCAAGACTTGAGAATGGTCAAGATATGAACGTTCTAGTCTTGGGTAGTATAAAAGTAATTTATTATAAGCGTTTAAGTATAATTTACAAGCGCTATAATTGGGTAATATGGTCGTAATACAAATGCCAGCGGAGACAATTACATAACCCTATCGTCGGCGCTCTATTTTATAATGGTAAGTGATGCAGTAGGCTGCAGCTTCCAATGCTTAACAAGCGCCCTTAAATGATTCTGCAACAAACCTGAACAGAACATTACTGCTGCGGGTGTGGAGGAAGGTCCATGTGTGTCTCCCTCCACCGTGTACATTTATGTATGTGAATTCTTAATGGATAAATAATTGAGCAACATGTATACATATTAATTATTAATTCTATATGCAGTACATGAATATACCAGTTTCCCACCAGAAAAAAATGCATTTTGGCAGCCGATTGGCCTGCCTAAATGCAGGAATGTGCTGCCTTAAACTTGTTCATTTATTACTAATATTTGTTGTCAGTAACAAAGGTTCTGTTGTCTTAACCTTCACTCGACCCCAATGACTTCT